GCCACAATGTCGTCGTTGCGTGTTTGCCGACGGCCCAGTACGGAACGAACAACGCGGCGAACGTGCTGACCCACCTCATACGAACCTTCCCATCGATCCGCCTTGGTTTGATGGTGGGAATCGGAGGTGGAGTGCCGACCAGGGTCGATATGCGTTTGGGCGACGTCGTTGTCGGGACGAAGGTGATGCAGTACGATCTAGGGAAGATTATCGGAGACGGACAGATTCAGCGCACTGCGATCCCGAAGAGCCCGCATCACCTACTCGGCACGGCCGTGTCGTCCCTACAAGCAAGGCATGAGCGCGACGGTAGCCGAATCTCGTTCATATTAGAGGGAAAGTTCGACGGACACTCCAAGTACGGCCGCCCAATCACGGCAGACCGCCTCTTTCTCTCGATGTACGATCATACATCTACAGCACCTAGCTGCGATGAATGCGACCATTCGAAGCTGGTACCTCGAAGCAAGCGGAGCATGGATAACCCGATAATACATTACGGCACGATCGCCTCAGGCAACCAAGTCATGGGGAACGGCACCCAGCGAGACAACATGGCTCAGCAACTGGACGCCATCTGTTTCGAGATGGAGGCTGCCGGTCTTATGGATATTCTCCCCTGCCTACCGATCCGGGGGATATGCGACTACTCCGATTCTCACAAGAACAAGGAATGGCAGAGATATGCCGCAGCCACCGCGGCTGCGTATGCGAGGGAGTTGCTAGGGGTGCTCCCCGTCGCTGAAGCGCAAATGAAGGTTGCTCCGGCGCCGAATTCTCGTAAGTCAAGTCCAGTGTTTCCGGACCATGCTCTCGTCGTTACGGATCACGCCTGGCGTGGTACAGATATCGAGCCATCCTAGAAATAGACAACAAGAATAAAACCCCCGTCTTATCTCCAATACAACCCACCACGTTGTCATGCGGCCTCAAAATGCTGACGTCAATGTCTTGTAGTGCAGACTTCCTTCCAAGTGGCCTTCAGCCTACAAGGCATGCCCGTATCAGACAAGTTTATCGATAGACCAACCGACAGGGCTGCGCTCGAGCAGTGTCTTTTACCGCAGCAACCCCCTACCGAACGACGGAAGGTGTGCGTTTTGCATGGGCTCGGCGGCATCGGCAAGACGCAGCTGGCTATCGACTTCGCCCGTCGTCACAAGGCCGCCTTTAGTGCGATCTTCTGGCTGGATGGGCGGTCTGAGGATCAATTGAGGCAAAGCCTCGCCAGGTGCCTTGGCAGAATTCCTGAACTTCGGACCGCTAGCCGCAACGACTTGAACCTTAACAGCAAGGAGGGTCTCGATGTTGCGGTGATGAAAGTGATTGAGTGGCTCGCTAGACCGAGTAATACTCAATGGCTGCTGATTTTTGACAATGTCGATCAAGATCAGCAGCAAGGTGGTGCAACGGGGACATATGACATCCGGCAATATTTCCCTGGGGATCAGGGTTCAATTCTGATAACGACGCGATTGTTACGCTTGCAACAGCTGGGTAGCTCAAAGCATTTGACCAACGTCGACCCAGGCCAGAGCAGGGTCATTCTACAGACGTGGTATGGAAAAGAGCTGAGTGAGTTACAACCCCCGGTCACCCTTCAGTCCTTGCCATGGCGCTAACTTTGGTTCTAGATTGGCGCCCAGATTACGACACCCTTCTCGAGTTGTTACAAGGTCTACCACTGGCTTTGGCGCAAGCTGCGTCATACTTGCGCGAGACAGGCATAGATGTTGCAACCTACATCCGGATTTACAACCAACAATGGCGAAAGCTCATGGGATCTAATAATCCTTTGACGGACTATGACCAAGGAAGTATTGCCACTACATGGGCAGTATCTCTCGATGCGATCGAAGACAAGAGTACGGATGCCAGGAATGCATTACGGCTGTGGGCGTGCCTCGACAACAAACAGTTCTGGCACGGCTTACTTGAAGTAGCTAAATCTACAGACTCTGAAGAGCAGTGGCCACCTTGGCTGTTTCGTATGGCAAATGATGTGACCTGTTTTGCAGACGCGATGGGACTTCTGCTCCGTTATTCGATGATCCAGGCCCAAGCAGAACCAAGCGGGAGTTACGCCATGCACCCAGTAGTGCATCAATGGGTACTGCATCTGGACAGCAACGAGAAGAATAGGGATTTTGCGCGCCTGGCACTTGTATTGGTCGGCCGTTTAGTACCAGACCGAGAGACGAAAGAGTATTGGATTCTGCAGCAGAGGATCCTTCCCCATGCAGAGCAATGTTCAAGGTGGATACAAAAGGACTTCTTACGATCGAATGAAACAGCTACTAGTGATAAGGCTATGATAGACTCGGTTCACCGCCTTGGGATTCTCTACAGGGACCAAGGCAAGTTTAGCGAAGCTGAGGCGATGTACAATAAAGCACTGGAAGGCAAAGAGAAGGCACTTGGGCGTGACCATACGTCGACCCTCAGTACCGTCAACAACCTAGGGCTCGTCTACAGGGACCAAGGCAAGCTCAGTGAGGCTGAGGCGATGTACAATCGAGCACTGGAAGGCAAAGAGAAGGCACTTGAGCGTGACCATGCGTCGACTCTCAACACCGTCAACAACTTGGGGCTTCTCTACAAGAACCAAGGCAAGCTTGGAGAGGCAGAGACAATGTTTGACCGAGCACTGGAAGGGTACGAGAAGGCACTTGGATGTGACCATGCGTCGACCCTCGAAACCGTCAACAATCTAGGGCTCGTCTACTGGAACCAAGGCAAGCTCAGTGAGGCTGAGGCGATGTACAATCGAGCACTGGAAGGCAAAGAGAAGGCACTTGAGCGTGACCATGCGTCGACTCTCGAAACCGTCAACAACCTGGGGATCGTCTACTGGAACCAAGGCAAGTTCAGCGAGGCTGAAGCGATGTACAATCGAGCACTGGAAGGCAAAGAGAAGGCACTTGGGCGTAACCATGCGTCAACTCTCGAAACCGTCAATAATCTAGGTGTTCTCTACAAGGACCAAGGCAAACTTAACGAGGCTGAGGCGATGTACGATCGAGCACTGGAAGGCTACGAGAAGGCACTTGGGCGTGACCATACGTCGACCCTCGATACCATCAACAACCTAGGGATCGTCTACTGGAACCAAGGCAAGCTTGGAGAGGCAGAGACAATGTTTGACCGAGCACTGGAAGGGTACGAGAAGGCACTTGGACGTGATCATACATCGACTCTCAACACCGTCAACAACTTGGGGCTTCTCTACAGGAACCAAGACAAGCTTGAAGAGGCAGAGGAGATGTACGATCGAGCACTGGAAGGCTACGAGAAGGCACTTGGACGTAGCCATACGTTGACTCTTGATACCATCCACAACCTGGGGGTTCTTTACAAGGACCAGGGTAAGTTTGAAGAGGCTGAGACAATGTTCAACCGAGCACTGGATGGATCCCAGTCCGCCCTTGGACAAAGCCACCAAAAGACGCAGACTGTTACGCATGACTTGCAGCTTCTGCACTCCAGCCAAGGTGAGGGCCACCAAACTATAATTTTGTGTGCACGTCGCCTGATCGAAACAGATATATACCCGAGCAGACCTGTAAGGATTGAATCGGCAAGTGGGACGATGTTTCTCAAAAAGCTTGCGGACAAATTTCGCAATAACGTCCAGTTTCGCAAACACCGGAAACGGTAAGAAAGTACAATTGGCATAGACATCTTCTCTAGGCAAGATCAATTTAAGCAATTTTTGGCAGGCACAGATAGCGAATCCAACACAAACCAACCCTGCATAGGGACCTCTCATTGTCATATCGAATTGGGCAGGTGTTTGAGTTTAGTCAATTACCGGACTTGGATCGTACCCTGAGAGCGATGTGGAAGGGCATGGTGGATCTCATCCCAAGAGCAGCCGGCCTGTCTCAGGGTGCGCACTATGCTTTCCTCCTTCGCTGTCCACTTTCGACGGGATGGCGTCGTCCTATAAGGCAAAGCCGGAGACGATCCTCCGCCTTCGGGATGCGGAACGGATGTCTGAGCATGTAGTTGATCCGACTCAGGGATCCATTCAAGCTTTAGTTGAAACGTCGTCCTGCTGCCCTCGGTGATGCGCTCTGGAAAAAGTTGCTGAGGAGCCATTCCTCGAATCGAGCAACGCATGGCCAAAGTCGGACGGGGCTGCACCTGTTTGCGGTATTGCTAGGCTGTGTGATGTTCGACACCTCCTAGAGGACCGTGCAGTCCTTCTTGTAGACCGCATCTGACGAGAGCTTAGAGCGCCGAGAGGCGAGGGGCAAGGGGATAGACATACTTTTCGACGCTTGCGACGATTCAATTGTTCGTCTTCGTGATTGTCTCCAGATTCATATCTCTGTATATCCGTTAATGAAGGACAATAGTCCTCGTCACTAACGCGTTGTGGAACGTCAAGACCATCTTCGCTATCAGAATCTTCGGTATGTGTATCCCCTCTATCCTTGCACTATCTCGTGTGTACGGAGGGATATGGGACGAGAACGGTGTTGAGCGAGCCCCTCACAGGACAGAGGGCGCGTTTGGGTTCCGAGTAGCGATCCAGGTTCGGCCCCCGAGGAGTCAGATTCAGTGTCACTGGATGAGCAGCCCCTGCGGTCATGGTCTTGTCCTTGATCTGGTGGCCATCCAGGCGACAGAGCCGGTGATAGGGATGGATTGTGAACAACGGTGGTATCATCTTGCTCGCGCTCAGGCAAACTTCGCCATCGGATAGTGGCGTCTGAGCCCTCAACTTGGGAGTGGCAGCCATGGGACTGCATGTGCACCTTGAGGGGATAACGGGACTGTTTTGCAAACAATTGCCAGATTCTTCCTCAGACCCGTCATCAGCAGTCATCGCAACAGGTTCGCTAGATGCTAGGATGACTGGGGTGACTTCGGTGATAGGCTGCTCGTCTAACATAGTCTGACATGGCTGGCTTTTCGTGTTGGTAGCGGGGCTGCTAAAGTCGACATCGCCAGCAGACGTGGAGTTCGTATGGCAAAGAGTTTGCACATTTGGCTCAGGATCAGGTCCAAATGTGAGCCGTACACCCGGACGGCGTCGCCTTCCACTCCAACCTGGGACTCTGTGGCGTAGTTTCCATAGTGATTGCGGCACCCGGCTCTGTTGAGCTGTTTGGTGCCCATGCTGTCTACGTGCTGACTGTCAGGGCTTGCCCCGGGAAAAGTCCCAAAACAAAGAAACTTGCTAAAATGGATTGCGATGCTGGTTGCAGTTGTTGTATATGACTGCGGACTGTGGGAATCTTCTCCCCCGTAGCCCTCGTCTTCTGCATCACTGTCCTCAGGTATCACAATGGCGGTGTCCTGAGATGCTCCAGGACCAGAGAGTGCTTCTCCATCGCACGGCGGTGGAGTGTCAGCGTGTACGATAGGGGGGCACAATTCTGCCGCAACCATTGCTGATCGGCGTCAGACGCTGTCGAGGCCATGTTGGGAGTTATGGAGTGTCTGTTGGTGTCTTGGCAGTGCGTTGAAGCAGAGGATGGGTGGAATTTTGCAGCTTGTATGCTCGCACTTGAGCTACACGGTCGCACAGCCAGCAGGAGCCCTCCCCGGTGTTATTCTGCTGTCTCTGTGCACCACCAAAATCAAAGCGAACTAGGTGGAGGAGACAGAAATGTAGCCGCTCCCGCTTTGTGCCAACCAACCCACCGCCGGGCCACACCGATGCAGCCATCCTGGGCAGATGATCTCCCCTCGTCTTAGCTTCGCTGCAAATCACCGTGGGTCAATTCAAGCTGCTTGTTGGCAAGGCAGAGTTCTCGGACGTGCCAGATCAGGCAGGTCTTGGGGGTTATTGGAGTGTCAACGCATGACGTGTGACCACTCCCAGCTGGTCAGACAGCATCGGGATGGAACTTCCCGGCAGCAGCAGCACTCCCGCCTGACCGTGATGGAGCCCGTGTCCGTGCCCGCATGTTTGATCGTCCCCAACCAGGAATTTGTTGGCCATTGAGAGGGCTCGAAAGCTCTGTAGGCCGTCATAAGCGCTTCAAAATCCTACAAATGTGTGGCAACCAGGGTTGGCATGCATCCAACACGCCAACAACTCGCCGGAGTACGCCCGTCTCCGTCCTCTCCGCTTCACCGAATCACCTCTGACGGCATGCCAGTTTCCCTTCTTGTGAAGTTGCTGAGCCATCATGAGGGGCACAGAGATGGGCGAATCGAGGGCCAGCAAGCAGTACTCGAGAGAACATTCTCGCAAGCGGTAGGTGGTCTCGGCAACCCCTGAACAAGGTAACGGTGACTCGGCCTCCGTCGGGCGAGCCGTCGCACACTTTGGCCAGTCTGAGGACCAACCGGGCGAGCATATTTATGCCGGGAGCCTCCGTATCAGCTTGTGCTCGTTTTGGGAAGGAAGCCAAAAATGGCACCACCCCCATGATGCATGGGAGGAGGCATTGATCAGCCACTGCGGCATTTTCGCTATTGGCTGACCATCTGTCGGAGGCCTCACGAGAATATGTATCGTCGCGCGATGCTCAGCTGTTGCATAAACCCCGCCGCATTGCAGCGTTGCAAAGCGATCCTCCCCCTAGGGTGCGCCTCTGGACTATTGAGCTTGTTAGATCTTGTGAGATGAATATCCCAAGAGAAGCCGTACAAGAAGAAAGGTAGAACTGCAAATAACATCAGGGAGGATGATGATCATGAGTAGTAGAGCATTTCTCATGATCCTCGCAATACGGCATTGCGATCGTCGGTCAATCCAGCAGAAGCAAAGCTTAATTCTAAACGAGAATGATGACGTGGCGAGAGTAGACAAGGGGGGTAGGGTGAGGCTGGCTATATTGCGAAGGAGGGAGAATCTAGTGCAGGCTGAGGTGGAGGATGGGAGGAAGTAGAGGTCAAAAATACATGTTCACAGGGCTGGATGTGGTCGACGTCTCTTATAGGGGGGGTCACGTGATACACGGTCGAGCTGCCATGCGACGGGCACACCTTGCCCGAATGGGCGTGGCCGCTAAACTGGAGGCAGCAGCAGCGAGTCCGCGGTTACTAGATAGAGTGTGTCTTGAAGGTATTTGCTAAGGTATGTGGTGTGCTTGCGAAAATCGGTTGGCTACGTGGCCTCTTGGGGCCATGAGGTTGCTATAGCGTTTGAAACTGCATGTCGGGCTTCTTAATGAACCCTTTGAGCAGGTTTATTTAATGTGCTGTAAGAGGCTGTGCTCCTTTTTAAAATAAAAAAATAAAAAATTGTGTGGGGCTGTGTCGTTTTGCGCCTGACGAGGCACTGCGTGCCCTTTGTACAGGCGACCAGGCAGCAATGGAGGGAGCCTTAAATTCAGCCTAAAGACCATAGCTGTTAGATTTATCCCTGCCAGATATGCAACGGGTGATAAATTTCGGAGCAGAGGTATGCAAGTATGCTAAGGTCTATTCCTTTCGTTGCATTTTATTTTGCACTTCAGCAGCTAATCAAGACAGATTTGGCATCGGGATACGCTATGTCTGCACCAAAGGCAACATCAAAACTAACACCAACATCACAATGGAGCGGCCGGATGTGTGACTACCCACTCCCTGAACACCCTCCTGGATCAGGTCCCCGACTTGAGCAATGGACCGGTTGGGAGGCATGGGACCGGTATTGCGATGTCAGACAGCAGGCCGATTGGCTCCGTTTGCTCATAGATATCCTTATGCCGCTTTTGGACGCCTACTATTCTCAAGATAAGAACCATCCAGGTTTCATTGGTGAGTACCGAAATAACCCGCCTAGGCACATTCATACGTATGCTTCAAGGACTAACATAGTATATTCATGGTTACAGAAATAGCCAAGGTCGATTTTCCAAATCCACCAGATCTGGAGAATTACAATTACGATGAAACTCATGAATATCTTAAGGAATGCTACTCCAAGATTCTTGATATAGCCTTACCAGACAAGGTGCATAAAAGTGAAAAGGGGCCTCGTACGAGACAAACCACTCTTGGGAACTATCTCTCCCTTTACCAGCCTCTACAAGTTTCTACATCGGCTTCGACTATCAGATTACTAGAGCTGTGTCCAGCTTTCGCCGAAGACGACACGATACGTATGAGGCTGTTTACGGCAGAACTAGACAAAACCACTGCCGGAGACTATGAGGCGCTTTCTTACGCTTGGGAGGAACCATCCGCATCAGGTCAAAAAGAATCCGTCTACGTCAATGGTTTCAAAATCAAGGTCACATCTAATCTTTTCAGTGCCCTCTCCTCGCTTAGAAAGCCTTCGACAAGCCGGCTCCTGTGGATTGACTCAATTTGCATCAACCAAGCCGATGTACGGGAGCGGCAGCACCAGGTTCAGCTCATGGCGCGGATATACACTGGAGCAAAGCGTGTTATTGTTTACCTTGGCCCATCTACACCAGCAACGAATACGGTTCTCAGAGTCCTACAGTCTCCAGCTTCTCAAACCTTTCCCGAAAACGGTGATAGTCCTGAATTAGACTTAAATTTCTCCCGGCTATGCCATGATGCTGAGACAGAGTTGATTGAAGGATTTATCGACATCACTAGCAGAAGCTGGTGGAGCAGAGTCTGGGTGCTCCAAGAATACATTCTACACAAGAAGGAACCTCTTATATATTGTGGAAGGTTACATGTCTCAAACCGAACCTTTTCCCAAAATTTCTCGAGGCTATTCAGTTGGGTGGAACACCGAAGACGACATCCAACAACGTTGAAGGGCTGCACAGGTGAAGCTTGTAAAATAGCTCATCTTTCCTCCTCATCCAACGACACACTGACCCCTGCAGCACAAAAAGCTGAAGAGAATGATCTTTCTCAGAACGAAAATCACGAGCAAAAGCTTGACTTGAAGCTGGGACGAGACGCTATGTTCCCCGCGCGAAGTTCAATAGGCCGTGAGTGGACGAAATGGGCCAGGCAAGTGTGGAAGGTTCGTCAGGTTCTCCGCGGCCGACAGATCTGCGGTGCAATATCATCAGGACGCTTGGTGGTGGTGGGCAGAGATTCAAGAAGCACCTCACCACACGACATAGTCTATGGTCTGCGCGAGCTTAGGGATCCTCTGTTCCGCAGTATTTTCCCGCCCGACTATATGATGCCCCTCTCCATGCTCTTCACCCGCTATGCCGCCTTCATGATCATCGTCTATAGGCATATAGATATGTTTTGGTACTACCCCTATCGTCTTCGTGACCGAACGAGCGATGGACAGACTACGCTTGGTGCTTCTTTCCAGGACATTCCGTCATGGGTTCCCGACTTCACAAGACCACGCAGCTACAGATGCGAGGAAGGCCATCCCCAACAGCTCAAGCGGAAAAATGAAGAATGGAATAGCACAGCGAGGATATTCAATCATACCCTACTAATGAACGGGCTGCTACTTGACGAGATAGTCGACGTCTTCCCGCTTCCGTCCAATGACCCGTTCCTGCTTCTGCAACAACTATGGTACGTGGAAAGGAAGTTTTGGGACCCGGAATACCTTAGGGAGAAACCCCCAGAACACAAAGAAGAGGATGGCCTGAGCAAGGGAATCTTTCATAAGATGTTGGACCATCTTGGCGGAGTCCTTACACTCCCAAGCGTTGCTTGGTCCGCATCCAATCCAGACCCTATGACAGATAGCGTCTCAGTAGTTGATGTCCTCGAGGGCGTCATGATCCTGCGCTCAGTGGTCGATGAAGAGTATCTTTCTTTCAGAGAAAAGATACCGCAGGTCGCTGATATCATTTTAGCGAATGAGGGCTCTAAGACTTCTTCTATTTACGGCCGTGAGGCGGCAGGAACAACAGCGCATCTATCATCGGAATTAGGGGATCTCTCCCTGAACGAGGAAAATATTATCCCTAAGTCGAAAGATGAGCGCCAAATGCTTATTAACAAGATAGAATATCGGTTGCTGGACCTTCTAACGTTTCTTGATGAAGAGCATAGGTGGACGGATTTTGTTGGCATATGCATTTTTGATTATGACAACTTCCGCTCTCAGGTCATCCACAGGCTCAGCATGTGGTCAGCGCAGAGGTTGGGAGACCTATTTGGTGGCAAGCCAGGCTTCGAGCATCTGTTGCAAGACCCCGGCCCGCGAGAAAACACGGCGAGATGGGCCGTGACACATAGGCCATTTTACTATACAGAGTATATCGACGCTATCGACAACAATCACCATCCCATGGAGATTCGTATGAGAGAAGCATTCATCGTCGGGCTCGCCACGCGAATCCACAAAGTCATGGCGAACATGGTTGGCCTCGAAGGCACCAAGACGTTCGAGAGCTTCGATACCGGGGACGTCCGTAAAGATCTTCCAGATGCCAAAAACGGTCGCAGTCCCCTAATTTTCCTATCCCCTATTCTTGAATCTAGTGAGACGGATAAGAACCAACACCACGCAAGCGATGCGACAGACGACGAATTCCAATCGCTTGACTTTCCCCACCGCCGAGGAGATCACCCGCATGGGAAACTGATGCGTTGGTGGAGCCATCCACGCGAGAAGAAATACGATGTGCATCCCGTGATGTTCGACGTGGTTCAATACCTAGCCGGCAGAGAGCTTTTTGTGACCGAGACGGGTCTGTCAGGTATTACAACTGTAGGGACTACGGGCTTACGGGACGGCGATGACCTTCTTCTTATTGAGGGTATGTCGCATTTGCTTATTGGGAGGCTGGAGCCGAGCAATGAGCTTGGCAACCCGAAGAAGAGGAGAAGGGAGATGTCTACGATTTGGATGAAGAGGGAGATTCTAGGCACTGCAGTTGCCAAGGGCATTGATACTAAGGAGGGAGATGTTGATGAAGCTATATGCCCCCCATGGTTCGAGGATATCACTCACGGGAAGAGAGGGTTATTTAGGTTTAGTTAGGATTACAAGAACACTTGGGGTTTTAATACTTTGAGACTATTTTTAACATCTGAGATATATAGTGAATGGCGTTTAGTAAAGGTAATTTTATTTAGGTGGGAAATTAATTAATTAATATATTTTCCATCTAATAGCTTAAAGGCTACTTAGGTCCCTAATAGGGGCATAGAATATACTAAGTTATTAGTTATATTTACCTATATATAGATAGGTTATAAATTAGTTATTATATAAGTAATCGCGGACACGCTGCTTCCCCCTCCGGTTTGGCGGCAGCATCCCCCAAATAGGTAAGGTGCGCACGCTGCCGCACCTCCGTCAGCATGATCACGTGCCTCCTTCTATATAAGACGACTCCCACCCTCGACGCTGTGCAGATGTATCTTTGACATATTTCTTTTCTCTCCCACCGCTCCGCCCTTGCCTCATCTTGCCTCCGCCTCTCCCATAATTTCCCTTCTCCCGAATTGATGACGCCTCAGCCGCTGGCCTGTTGGAATGGCAGTGCCCCGCCCCCTTGGCATTTAGAGGGGGTGGTTAACATACTCCATGGCAGACTGCGAAGCAGAATGAGGCGCTCGAAGAGGAGATCAACGTTCATGCTTTTTTTTTAAAAAATTCTTTGGAGATATTCCAGTCTTTTTCTGCCTTCTTTACAGCTCTCGTCTCTCTTCTGTCATCACAGGGTGCTCATGATGCCCAACATTCTGACGGTGCATCTCCAAGCATCCGCTTCATGGCGCTACAAGGCCTTCAAGCAACGCATCTCACGGCGATACTTCTTCCTGTGAGGCCTCCGACAAACAACCAGCCAATGGCAGAAATGCCGCAGTGGCTTATTGTAACCCCTGACGCACGACGACGGAGTGGACGGTGTCCGAGTCATCGCCCTGCTCGAGGGCTGCCAGGGGATCAGCAGCGGCAAAGCCGTATGAGCGTCATGAGGATGGTCGCTTCTGGCATGTCACTGGGCCTCAGCTTCCGCATCGTGCCGACTGACGTGTCGCCGCTGCACAGTCGGCCGCCGTTCTGCTACAAGACGAGGGCGGCTGATTCGAAATGGGTGAGGAGTCCCGGTCAGCTCTACGCGGCTGGCCGCCTCATCCCCTGACCCGGCCATTAGCAGAAATGGCGCAATGCTTATCAATTATCAGCAGCCCCAGTGACATAATGGAGTACGGTGCTATCTCGGGCTGATTGTTGAATATCGAGCGCAGTTGTTCCAGGGGGCATCTGGGACAAAGAGGCCCCCGATTGGCTCGCAGAGAGTGGGCGGAGATCGCGATGTAAGAAATCATGACGCGGCTGGTCGTCATTTCCCTGTTCAGGGGGCGGCAAACACACCCACTGCTGAGAAATCTTCCCTCGATTACTACCTGCTCTTTCTGGGCTCGACCACTCCTGTGCCTCTCGCGACGACTCAGCAGCTGCGATGACGTGAGAGGCCAGCATGATCAGTTGATGCAAAGCTGACTCGGTGAAGCGAATATGGCGCAAAGCTCTTGCTGCCCCTGTCAAGCTGAGTTGTCCCATGCCGTCAGGCGGTCACTCGTTGGCCAAGACGCAGGATGGACCAATATGAGAGAAGGGCAATGAGCCTCGAACTAGCTCTGCACAGTCGGCCGCCCGCTCATCGGCGTAGGCGCAAGGCAGCACATGTCAGAGACAAGGATCGGTGCCCAAGGGGGAAAGGGTCAACGAGTTCGTATCAGGTTGGTCACAGCAGGCAGCGCCGAGGTTGAGATGCTCCGCTACTATACGTGGGATGCGGCCAAGCAGCTTCATGGTTGGCGGGTATGGTGGGGTGTGCGTATCTGGGACACGAATTGTCTGAGAGCACATTCGCGCGGAGACGAGAATAGGGGCAAGGGAAAGGGGGCGGAGGCGCGTGATTGGGGGCAACACTAGCCATCTTTTGCCTATATAAGGCGCCCGATGCCCTCAGCAAATGAGAGTCCTGAGGGCATGCTGGTAACAACTTCTTCATACAATGGGACCCTTTGTGAATCTTGACAATATGGTTACCTGGACTCCTCCAGCTGTTCATGGTTCGGAGCATGCCGATCATGCGAAACAGCAGACATCCATTTTCTCCCCAGAACCCTCCTTTCACTCATCTCCTGCGTCGGCTCCCTACGATCAAGTATCTCATGAGCCAATCTACATCTCGTCTGATGATGAGAGTACATTTGACGCAGATGAAGAAGCGAGTTGCGACGGCTCTCGGGATATGGATGACTCAAGCTCAGATGATACTCTTCCGTCGATCGACACAATCGTTGCATCTATCAAGAAGAGCTCATCTGTTCTGCCACCCACGAGTAAGTGTTGTTGAGGCAGGCCTTTTATACAAGCGTTCGAGCGTGGCTGACAATCCTGTCCAGGATCTCCCAATAATGCCAACCAGCCACAGCTACTTGATCCAGGTGCGAGTCGGCCAAGCCAGGAGGCTGTAACAGGTCTGGATGTCTTGCTTTCCCGCACACCGATGAGCACGCAAGCCAGCAGTGCCGTGCTTGGCCATTCGTCGGGTAGCCCCGGATATACTGGGCTGGTCACCAAAGGTGATGCTATCATACCAGGCCACCTTCCGGAGACGCTGGAGGTGTCTTGTTCTGAGAGCTGTGAGGTTTCCAATGCTATAGCCATTTCGCCTCAGAACGGGATGGAGCAGACACGAGATGGTTCACAGAGTACACTAGGAAGCTGTTCGGAGGGTCACTCCGATTCTCAGTCCAGCTCTAACTCCGACGGCCCTATGCGGCAGCGCAGGGAGGACAGTCTCATACCATCCACTTCACTATCGTTGGACATCCGCGAAAAAGAGGAAGCGTACGGCGATGCAAAGGAAGCTATAGATGATGACGTCAGTCAGCTCCTAACCGGGCAGCTTCGCTGCAAAGGGACACACAAGGACCGCTTCGCCCCTGAGCAAGACCCAGCCTTTCACTGCGATTCTGATGCTGATGCCAGCTCGAGCTCTGGCGCTGATGCTGCTGTACACGATGATGAGGAGTACTGCCCCTCGCCCTGTCGTGGTGAACGGGAACAGGCAAGCAATAATTCTGGCGATGATGAAGCGGACAGGTCCGATCCTCCCCTTCCATGCAAACGACGGAAATTGGGCGGGTCTCGGTCCAGTTCCAGGCCACATCGCCGCAGCAAACGTCTCACCAACCCTACACAGACAGTCAATCCATCGGGACCAGTTCGTAGCGCGAGTTCAGTGTCATCACTGAGCTCATTTACCGCAGCTGATGAGGAAATGCCAGCTGCAAGATATGAGGAATGGTCTTTGCAAGGGGCCACGCTCAAACGCTTGGCGGTGAACGGTAAAGTGACCTTTCAACTTGGGTTCAGCTGGGATTCGTGTGTCGGTGGCCATGCACCGGGCTCACATAGCGACAACAAATTCCAAACTCAAGTAGCGAAGAGGTCGCACCGAACACAGCGAAGCCCAGCCAGCCATGGTTTCACTCGTGAGGAGGACGATCTCATCATCAAATTGAAGGAAGAGCAGCAGCTTCGTTGGCCAGAAATCCACGAAAAATTCAGCGATAAATTTCCACAACGACGATCTCAGGGAAGCCTTCAGGTTCATTACTGTACAAAGCTGAAAAATGGCAAACGGGCTGGGAGGAAGTCTAGGCAGGGTCAGGCAACGGGATAAGTTTTACACGAAGAATTTTGAAATCACCTAAATTAAAGAGATTCTGCCCTTATTTGGGACGTCTTTCATATTGCTACTTAGTTGTCCCTTGCCTCGTCGTTTTTTACTTGCCATAACTCTGTGCTGACCCAAGTCGTTCCAGTATTGCACCTCCGATGTGACCCAATTACGCAACAAACGAAACCACTCGACCTCTACGAACAGGGGCCCACCCGACTTGAGAGATGTATGGTCGAACAACTATGATGATCGAAGCAATATTGTGATTCCCACCAAGTGAGAGTGTTGTACCTCCGACTATTTCGGCTTTCGTCCATGAACGAGATACCGTGAAGAGACATTAGTCTTTCTGATGGATGTGGGGAAAGATTTGAACAACCGTGGGCTTCATGGATACTGGCCGGCGTATGGGCAACTTACCCTTACCCTTGTGACTGATTTGCCTCTGTGGCCGGCCTGGTGGCACCCTTCAGGTCCTTTTGAAAGTCCTCAAAGCGGCCTCCACTCCCAAGGTAGAAGTCTACGTGTAGGGTGATAAAATCATCCGATACAGATCGAAATCTTCTCTTTGCGCCTCATCCTGCAGCCACATTTCCATCTACATTAGCGACTCTTAAAGACCGGAGGGAGATGATTATGAGAGAGAGAGAGCCTAGAGAGTACTATGGGCTAGTGGGGCTGCATCACCGCCTCTCCTTGCTTCATATGGAGGTCAATAATATTGTAAGTCTAGGTTAGCAAGATAAGCCAGTCCACGACTTCGGGCGGTGTAGATGGGCGATAAATATTATATAAAAAAAAGAGGCAAAGCGTTTTTCTATTCTGTTGGTGGCGACACTGAGGAAGGTGCCGCAAATAGGGTATACGCCGAAGGATGCATGGCGGGAGAGCCAATACGTCGTCTCGCAAAGTGTCGTTTGGCAATGCGCCGTTTCCAAAAGAGTGCAAGAACAACGAGCATTCTAACCTGACCAATCACATGGCAGTCTTTCTCATCCATCTGGATGGATGGATCAGAGGTGACAGGAGAGGCAAACCAGTCGTGGTTTGCGCAAAGGGGCCTTGAGGAACGAAGCTGGCTATGGAAGTTAAGCCTCCAAGGATAGTAAACTAACTTTCCTTCTCTAGCACCGACTAGTATTTGATTTCCACACTCTTGGACGATACCATAAGTGCTCCGACAGACACGAGAAAGTTGCTGCAGCGTCTACGAGAGGCAGAGGAGAGTCTACGAGAGGCAGAGGAGAGTCTACGAGAGGCAGAGGAGAGTCTACGAGAGGCAGAGGAGAGAGCTGCACGAGAGGCAGAGCGAGCCAATCGAGCAGAAACCAAAAGGGACCAAGCAGCGATCGAACGGGACCAAGCAGCAATCGAACGGGATCAGGAGAGGGAACAGACTCGACCGATAACCCTGGATGAATATCTGGAGGCCTGCCACAATCTCATCTACACACACCTTACGGTTGAAAGTAACCCGTCCAGGACCACTACCAGCAGCATCCGTACCTACAATAAGCTTGTTCCGGAGCACCTCAAGCGGTAGACTAGCTTTTTTAATAAGCAGGGCCAGATATTAACCATCATCTACTCCTTCTTTCCAGTAGAGGAACGACTCTTTAATAATCGAGCCTACCTAGCAACACTTGGCAATAAAGTATCAGCAGCTCCTATCGCAGACGAGAAAATACTAGAGAATTTTCTATATAATTATATAGAGGAGCAGGTTAGGTATATCATACATAAGCTCAGTAAATCTGAGGACTTTCAACGGCAGTTGAATATTGGATCTGATATCAAGTTTGAGAACCATCTCAAAGCGATCAGTAATACGGCCTATAAAGTCGTCGAACGAGAACGCCGACAGCTACTCCCACCGCTACAGCAGGAATCAGAGGAGCTAGGGCCAGAGTCACAGTACCCAAGGATACCAGATCTTATCCGCAACCCTGCAAAGCTGAATACTGACCAAATCTGCATCTATCGCTATAAGGGGAATAGCTTAGGAAAGCGGTCTGTTATTACAATCGCTGAGTACAAGCCACCTCACAAGCTCACCCTCCCACAGCTCCGAAAAGGCCTGCACGACATACACATCTTCCAAGACGTTGTTTGTAAGAATAAGATCCCAACAGAGGCAGAAGCCAAGTTTCAATATTACGCTAAGGAGCTAACTGCTGCCGCTATTACGCAGACCTACTACTACATAATCAAGGGTAGTCTAGCTTATAGCCTCTTAACGACCGGCGAGGCTATTATATTTCTTAAGATTAATTAGAGAGCTCCTGAGGTTCTTTACTACCACCTAGCAGAGCCTGGTCCGGAGGTAGAAGCATATAGACAGTTCCGCTTATATACAGCTATTTCCCAGTACCTGGCCTTCCATCTCCAGGCACTTAGTAATCACGCGCACCACGCACACATCAGCCAAGACAGGCACCAGGAAGTTATTAGTAGGCTAAGGCAGTAGAAGGTGGACTTCCGGCGCATAGCGAGTACAATTTCCAAGGATCAGCAGGAGGCATCACCGGGATCACCTGCCTTTACTCCCACAACATACAGTACTATCAATCGCTCAGTAAAACCCCGGAAGTGCAAGCCAAAGAAAACTACTAAAGCTAAAAGAACACTTCCTGTGAGATAGGGAAGGGATAATAAACCTGATAACGATAGGGATTTAAATCGCCCGCCTAGTACTAGTCCAGCAGAGCGATAATAACCAGAGCAGAACCAGGGAACTCGGCGGAGCAAGCGGGTTACCAGGCGGGCTGCTGGGGAAAGCAGTTAAGGCAACAGTACGAACAGTAATAAAGGCAGTAACCAAGCTCTCCAGTTCTGTACACAGAGGTATCTGCTAGACCTGGTAAGAGGTTATCTACTTAACACCAATTACCCAAATTTTACCCTCTATAGAACTCGGAATTACAAGACGAATTGCCCTAAACGCCATCCCATTATACACACCAACTTCCTTAAGCTTCTTTCTAAGCAGCTGAAACAAACTCTTAACTCTGGGATCAAATCATTAGATATTACTAGTTCTCACGGGGCTCTCTTCAAGATTTCTTTACTTACATATAGGTACACTTTCATTAGCAAAGGTACAGTAGAGGCTTTCATCTCAGATTTAAAGCACGAAGAACTCATCTACAAGCAACTTAAGAAAGTACAAGGGACCCATATACCCGTCTTCCTCGGTACTACCAACCTCCGTAACCTCAGCAGGACATACTACTATAATCTCCGCATTAACATAGTTCACCTGTCATTTTTATCTTAGGGAGGTATCAGTTTAAGAGATATTAATACAAAAGATATTAATAAGGCCTTTATAACGGGAAGGGCAATACAGTCTATAAAAGCTATCCATCAAGAAGGGGTAGTACACATAGATACACGCCGGGAAAATATCCTGTTCAACCCAGAAACTCGAGAGGTAATAACCATTAATTTCAAGCGCTCGCAGCTTCTCTCGCCACCCCGACACCAGCTGACCGCCCTGCAACCTAACAAGCGACAGCGGATTCAAGATACGAGCGGGAAGGTTAAAGCAGTATCTCGTCCTCACAGTATTAAGAGCTAACTGCAGCCAGGTTTCTTGCATAATATAGCAGGAGTGAAAGGAGCGTTCATGTGATATGATATTATACTGCCGGCGAGAGATTGGTTGGCTTTATAGTAACCGTTGCTACTTGGATACAAGGTCTGAAACTGAGGCTGTTTTGGGTTTTTTTTAATAGTTCTCTAATACGCATTTAGTGAAAAAATAAAGGCCGGGCATGGTATTTGGGGCTACTGATAGAGCTGGCAGGGGTCTGATGTGATGCTAACTTTGCGTACGCGGTAATGCTTCGTGCGATGCGCGGGGATTCTCTTTGCGTACGCGACTTTGCACGGCCCTGTTTGGTGCATTCTGTGTGCACGGTGGGTCTCGTACCTGACTCGGGCGTACGCAGTCCATGTGATTATTTATTAATCAATCAAGAGCTATTATCAGCTTATCTTGTGGGTGCCTGTTGTATGTTCTATCTCTCTTGTGGGCTATAGACAATAAGAGGCGTAGTCACGCGATCACGTGTTTGGCCCCATCTAGTGTAGTCGACTGGTTTTCGCGTACGAGCTCCTCTTTCTCGTACCGCTCTCTTTCCTCTCGTACTTCCGCTTCCTCCTTTTCACGCCGCTCTTTTGCCCTCTTATATCTGAGCTCTTCGTTCTCACGTTGAAGCCGTACAATATCTGGATCAGATATTGAGTACCATGGGAGTATCGCTTTGTGGTAAGGATGATTAAGTTGGTAGACTGCCCATTAATTCATCTCCATTTCTCGGGTAAATATCGGAGATTGGACCAAGAGGCGTTGCCTTTGACGAGTAACCGACGCGCCTGGAACTCAGCTACGTCATTTGGAGGGTCAAGCTAATCATTAACTACTATTATTATGCGGAGTAGTGCATGCTGTCAGCCTTGATTTTATAACGTCATTCAAACCTGAAAATTGAGGTATCAAGCTTGTGCGGGGTTGAAACCGTACGAGATCCAGAGTCTAAAGCTCATCTCCACTTGGTATCATCCTTACATGAGTCGAACCCCAGCAGAGCCGAAAATGTACGAATGCGAGTCGTGTCAGTGTTTATTCTGGACCAGATTTGAGTGTGAGGATCACATGGGCGAAGAGGATCACTGGCCTAAATGCGAAACCTGCCCAAAGACGTTTGCTACACAGAGAGCTTGTCAACAGCATATGAACGCTACGGGGCCACTGGGTCCCGCGATTTCCTTGCCAAACGTGCGCGAAGGAGTTTTTCTCACGAGAAGCAGCGGAACAACACATGAAGGACAAGGCACACTTCAAATACCACTGCAGGCCATGCGGTCAGACTTTCATAAATGACAACAATTTAAAGATGGTATAGTTCAGCCAAAAGATCGCGAAGTCCCTTTCCAGATGCTTGCGCGCTAATGTTCCATGGGTCGTAGCACCTGACTTCTAAGGCTCATCTCGGCACAACAATCCCCTGTCCCTTTTGCAAGGTTTCGTTCACTACTCCTAGTGGCGTCATTAGCCACATTGAGAAAGGGTCCTGCCCCAAGGCCCCTCAACTAAACCACGGGGCTATCCTGCGTATACTCCGCGAGCGCGACACTCGAGGTTTAATAACTAATAAAACCATAACTTGGCAGCTGAAGGAGCAGTCAAGTACACGGCAACAGGTCGCGCTTTTAACGGTGCTTATTGGGAATGCTATTTGTGCCATAAGGAGTTTGGTAAGAGGGTCGGGTTGAATGCGCACCTTAACTCGCCTGCCCATGTTGGACAAGTGTATCATTGCCCAAATAAGGGAGGGTGCGGGAGGCAATTCTCGACCTTAGCTGGGTGTTTTGGTCACTTAGAGAGTGAAACGTGCGGATTTATGAGATTTGCGAGGGTTCAGCAGCAGATTGAAAATGTACTGCAGGGACGTGCTCTCCTCAAGATGTCGTGATTTATCCTTTGCTGTGGTATTAAGCAGACTTGAAATAATTTAATTCTGCTATCTCGGGAAATAAAGATGATATTGCCTATGCTTACTTGGGTTATAGCATTTCTTTACTAGGTCCATTATTAGCTCTCCTGGGCATTCTAGAACTTGTAACGATTCCTCTGGCTTTTCATGTGTAGGGTGGTCCCTAGATTCCGAGTAGATTTCAAAACACCGATCAGTATCAAGCACTGCAGTTTAATTTGTACCAGTCTTAAAGCGCTATAAATTGCCTGGCGCTGATAGTATCTGGTACAGGTGTGACTCTATGGACATGCATCGCCTCAACGCGAGTAGAGCTATTTCCTGTAATATCGGCTTCTGCTTGGGATTTGAAGCGTGACTGTACCCTATCGATACTATCCAGATCTGGATGCCTTCTAGCAGGCGCAACTGAGGCGTTGACTCGGCTAGAAACCTTGCTCCAAGCCCTCGGATGCTGCTTAATTGACTCCGAGCGACCTGATAGATCCTGCCAGCCGACGACCACTACTTCTAGCTGTTAGTCTCGACGAAACCTCTTTCGGTCGCGTTTTAGCAACTTTGTTTCTTGTCTAGCTATGGATAGCGCAGAGTTTGATTATTCGATGACGGTGTATCAGCGATTGCAGAGCATGCACGAATGGCCGCCGACGCTTCATTCCGCGTCTAGTAAGAGCAGATCACGCATGTATAATGCGGGAGGCCGACCATGAGTCTGAGACATTCAGGGCCTGAACCCTACTTCTCGTGAGTATTCGTGCATATTAATGGATAAATACTCCCATACTTATGATCCTAGGTGAGCTCGTCCGCCCTGCGTTCTTTGGAAGAGGCGTTCACACACAGTTGATTATCATATGACCTCCCTGCATCTCAGCTAGCATGCCACGGAAAATGAAAGGTCAATCGTGGTCCATGTTCCCATCCCTCCACGGCAATGTTAAAAAACTTCTGAAGGGCAGCGGCCTTGGTTTTTCTTTCCAGAACGCCGACCAAAGAAATTGCGCTCAGGAATATGATACCAATATCAAGGGTCGTTTCTCATGTCTCAACTCGAAATGCGCCGCCAAGGGATGGTCCAGCAACCTCATCCCTATTACTATCCGAATGTACCACGGACAAAAGTACAATGCTAGGGTCTACCATCAACGGTGCAAGCATTGCAACTGGCTCGCAAAGCCACATTTAGATGGGTCGTATGCGGAAAGGATTGCCTACCGGTTGAAGAAATGGTCGGGGATTCAGGTTAAACAGCCACCTTATGGAGGGGGTGTTGATGGGCGGCCGCACATCACGGAGCTCTGTGAGGGATGTAAAGCCGGGCACTGCAAATGGACATAAGTACTATGGAGCCAGGATTAATCTGGCAGCGCCAGTACATCTTATGGTTGAATAGGATTGACATTACATCTGTCGCTTAGGCTCACTTCGAACTAGGACACATAGTTTCCTAGAGCAAGCCCTTGGCTCCGTGATAAAACATATGGTTAGTTTACATCATCCTCATCAGCAATCGAGACAAAGCCCCACGAGTTTGAAAGCTAGTAAGCCCCCTTCTCCATCTATTTTCCGCCTTCACACCTCGGTAGCTAGGTAGAGAAGTGGGTCGGGGTGGTGTTGTAGTCGGCTGTTTTTCGGCTATCATGCAATGGCTCGCAACTTCAGACCGCCCCAACTCCAACCCAGACTTGCAGAAGTGAAAAGAGCGTTCATATAATTTGATCATTAGCGAGAAATTGGTTGGATCTGCGGTAACGTTGTCACTTGAATGCAAGGCCTGGAGTTACGCAAGGGAAGTGTGATATTTGAAGGCCATTCATCAAGAAGGGGTGGTACACATGGATGCGCGTTGGGAAAATATGATAATCAACCCAGAAACTCGACAGGTAATAATAATTGACTTCGAGCGCTCGCAGCTTCTCTCGCCACCCTGACGCCAGCTGGCTGCCTTGGAGCCCAACAAGCGACAGCGGTTTCAAGATACGAGTAAGAAGACTAAGGCGGTATCTCGTCCTAGCAGTGTTAGAAGCCAGCTGGAGCCAGGTTTCTTGCATGATATCGCAGGAGTGAGCGGGGTCTTCATGTAACTTGACGTTACACTATCAGCGAGAGATTGGTTGGCTTTACAGTAGTACGCGACTGTGCGCAGGCGGCAATTCTCGTACGCGACTTTGCGTCTGAGGTCTGTTTGCTGCAATGCTGTGGTGGGTCTCGTAAGCAATTCGGCGTACGCAGCCCTTGTGATTATTCATTAATTAGATGGGTTCTCAGTTCAGATCTGATGAGTAGTACTCTCAAGGCATCAGGCATGGCACTCCATGGATGTTATATAGAGTACTACTAAGGCAGTTGGCGTAGCACTCCATAGATGTTATAAATAGTACTAGCAAGGCAGTTAGCGTAGCACTCCATAGTCGCTATAGATAGTACTACCAAAGCATTAGGCGTAGCACTCCATGGAGGCTATTGATAGTACTGGAGGCGTGTAGTGCTCGGGAGGTTTCGTGCTCGAGACGTGTAGCACTCGGGAGGTGTCGTGCTTGGGAGGTGTAGCACTCGGAAGGTGTAGCACTCGGGAGGTGTCGTGCTCGAGGGGTGTCGTGCTTGGGAGGTCTAGCACTCGGGAGGTGTCGTGCTTGGGACGTGTCAGGAGGTGTACCTAGTACTCCAGAGGCGTGTACTACATATAGGTTATAGGTAGTACTGAGAGGTGTAGTATTTGGGGACGTAGTGCTTGAAGGATGTTACGTATGGGCTATAGATAGCACGACAGAGACGAAATGCTAAAGCGATGTGATGCTCGCCTAACACTTATGTAGGGATGTTCCAGAAGACGAACCATGCAAGAAAGATCCACCCCCTAGTGCTGCACCCAGGGGTGTACAAGTACTGAGGATTGCTCTCATGGATTGCACCAGGACACATCTTTGGTGGAACGAGAAGTGCCTTGAGACTGTTAGCTGGGCACTAAGATAGTCATGTATATAGTTGGTAAGGCCACTTCCGAATCAAGGTAAAAATTTGAGAAACATGAGGGTTCTTTCTTACACGCTGCCAAGTACCTATGGAATGTTTCGTGTATTGAACAATTCGCTCGCTGATAATCAGCCGTTAGACGATAATCACGTGAGTGGGAAAAAAAAAGGATTGGCTTGGCAAATTGCGACAAACACGCCGGGGTTATGTTTTTCCGTAGACCCGTCCCACAGCTTGGCCACGGTGATTTCAAACGAGCGGGTGGCTGAATGGCTGGCTCATTGATGTGTGGTTGTGTATTATCGCTCGCGCGGCTTCTTGCATATGTTTCTCATGTAACACAATAGGCAGTAATTAGAAGTGTGTCGAGAATAACCCTATTTAAAGAGGTCTGAATAATTCTATTCTACATTTCAGCCGACATGGCCAGCTTAACCAATAAAGTTGGTACCGCCCATCCCGCCTCTTGAGGGAACCTTTAGAACAATCTCGAGATCTTTGAAGTCAGGCGCTTCTCTTCCTCCTTTCTCTACAGAGTAATCGTGTTGTCAATGTACTCCACTCGAAAATAGCAGTGACTCCCTCTGGAACGATCTCCTCGCTGCACATCCGTAGTTGACAACCCCTAGGTTGTTGACGGTATCGAGGGTCGATGTATGGTCACACCCAAGTCCCTTCTCTTTGCCTTCCAGTGCTCGATCAAGCATCGCCTCAGCTTCCCTGAGCTTGCCTTGGTTCCAGTAGATGATCCCTAGGTTATTAACGGTATGGAGGGTCGATTTATGGTCACGCCCAAGTGCCTTCTCTTTGCCTTCCAGTGCCCGATTGTGAATCGCCTCAGCCTCGCTGAGCTTGCCTTGATTCCAATAGACGAGCCCTAGATTATTAATAGTTTCGAGGGTCAACGCATGGTCAACTCCAAGTGCCTTCTCTTTGCCTTCTATGCTTTATTATACATCGCCTCAGCTTCGCTAAACTTACCTTGGTCCCTGTAGAGAATCCCAAGGCGGTGAACCGAGTCTATCATAGCCTTATCACTAGTAGCTGTTTCATTCGATCGTAAGAAGTCCTCTTGTATCTACCTTGAACATCACTCTGCATGGGGAAGGATCCTCTGCTGCAGAATCCAATATTCTTTCATCTCTTGGTCTGGTACTAAACGGCCGACCAATACAAGTACCAGGCGCGCAAAATCCCTATTCCTCTCGTTGCTGTCCAGATACAGTACCCATCGATGCACTACTGGGTGCATGGCGTAACTCCCGCTTAGTTCTTCTTAGGCCTAGATCATCGAATAACAGAGCAGAAGACCCATCGCGTCTGCAAAACAGGTCGCATCGTTTGCCATACGAAACAGCCAAGGTAGCCACTGCTCTTCAGAGTCCGTAGATTTAGCTACTTCAAGTAAGCCCTGCCAGATCTGTTTGTTATCGAGACACACCCACAGCCGCAATACATTCATAGCATCCGTACTCTTATTTTCGATCGCGTCGAGAGATACTGCCCATATAGTAGCAATACTTCCTTGGTAGTAGTCCGTCAGAGGATTATCAGATCCCATGAGCTTTCGCCATTATTGGTTGTAAATCTGGATATAGGTTGCAACACCCATACCTATCTCACACAAGTATAACACAGCTTGCGCCAAAGCAAGTAGTAGACCTTGTAACAACTCGAGAAGGGTATCGTAATCTGGACGCCAATCTAGAACCAAAGTTAGTACCGCGGCAAGGACTGAAGCGTGACCGGGGATTATAACCCACGCAGTTCTTTTCCATACCACGTCTGTAGAGTAGCCCTGCTCTGGTCTGGGTCGACGTAGGTTAAATACTTTGAGCTACCCAGCTGCTGCAAGCGTAATAATCGTGTCGTTATCAGGACTGAACCATGGTCTCCAGGGAAATATTGCTGGATATTATATATTTCCGTTGCACCACCATGCTGCTGATCTTAATCGACATTATCAAAAATCAGCAGCTATTGAGTATTACTCAGTCTGGCGAGCCACTCAATCACTTTCATCACCGCAACATCGAGACCCTCCTTGCTGTTAAGGTTCAAGTCATTGCGGCTAGCGGTCCAAAGTTCAGGGATTCTGCCAAGGCATCTGGCGAAGCTCTGCTTCAACTGATCCTCAGACCGCCCATCTAGCCAGAAGATCACACTAAAGGTGGCCTTATAACGACAGGCGAAGTCAATAGCCAGCTGCATCTTGCCGATTCCGCCAAGCCCATACAAACACATACCTTCCGTCGTTCGGTTGAGGGTTAGTGTAGCAAAAGACACTGCTCAAGCGCAGCCCTGTCAGTTGGCCTATCAACAAACTTGTCCGATACAGGCACGCCTTATAGGCCAAAGACAACTTAGAAGGAAGTCTGCACTACAAGATATTAACATCAGCATATTGAGGTCGCATAACAACGTGGTAGGTTGTATTAGAGATAGGACCGGGGTTCTATCCTTACTATCTATTTCTAGGATACGCTCAATATCTATACCACGCCAGGCGTGATCCATTATAACGAAAGCATAGTCCGGAAACACTAGACTTAACTTACGAGAATTCAGCACCGGAGAAACCTTCATTTATGCTTCAGCGATAGGGAGCACCCCTAGCAACTCCCTCGTATATACAGCCGCGGTAGCTGCAGCATATCTCTGCTATTCCTTGTTCTTATAAGAATCAGAATAATCATAAATCCCCCGGATAGGCAGGCAGGGAGAATATCCATCAGACCGGCAGCCTCCATCTCGAAACAGATAGCATCCAGTTGCTGAGCGATATTATCTCTCTGGGCACCGTTCCTTATAACTTGATTGCCCGAGGCGATCATGCCATAATATATCATCGGGTTATCCGTACTCCGCTTGCTTCAAGGAACCAGCTTCGAATAGTTGTATTTATCGCAGCTAGGTGCTGTAGATATATGATCGTACGTCGAGGAAAAAAAGGCAGTCTGCTGTAATTGGGCGGCCGAACTTGGAGTATCCGTCGAATTTTGCTTCTAATGCAAGTGGGATTCAGCTACTATCACGCTCATACCTTGCTTATAGGGACAACACAGCCGTGCCGAGTAGATGATACAGGCTCTTCGGGATCGCAGTACGCTGAATCTGTCCGCTGGATGGGAGATTCAGAACATTGTTAAGAGGAACGGAAGGGACGCTCTTGGACGTTGACGGAAATGAGGGGGAAACTCGACGCACGCATAAGGCTGCTACAGACGGTTCAGCAGTTAACCTATGCTGACACTGCCACCACTTGTTGCCGCCACAACACCCTTGGACAGCCTCACGAGTAGAGTCTCATTGAAAACCCAGGTCACGTTTTTGTGCTGGCGCGCGCTCCATGCAGAAACCCACCAGCGTGAGTGTGGTAGCTCCGCTGTTAGTCAAAAACACAGTGTGATTACCTCAGCGGTGGCCGATCCTCCCCACTCCCTGCAAAAAGCCCAGCGCCAGGGACAGACAAGCGTCCAACTTTTCTCACGGTCCAACCGCGCCAACGGTCCGAGTACGATCCCACAAGACCATTAGGTAGGTACCCTATAGCTACCTAGACACCTATAATATGTGCTTGGCCCACAAGCAATTCATCTAGATGCTTGAAATTCACTTCCTAATTGTGAGAAGATAAAGTATTCATGAAAGAGGTCTCACTCAACGCGTTGTTTCGGCTGGCCAGCCAGTAATGTAAAAGGGAAATGCCCATGCTCCTAACTGCGATGATATCGCATAACCTGCTATTCGAGACCACTGGCTGGCAACAGGAACATGCGAATACATGGAAAACAAAGCAAGTGACGTTGCGCAGTAGAGAGCAACCGGGCCCCAGGGATGCAAGGGCATCTAATTTACATTTTTGGGGCTCAGAAATCTTTGCTCTCTACCCCTCCACCAGTGGTGCAACATGTGGCACAACTTTGAGAGAATCCACACACACACCAGGCTGAGAATGGGTTGTTGGTCGTGGACATGCTTTAGAGCCAACAAAACTGTTGGCTCGCCTCTATAAAAAGGGCCTTTTCATCCCTTCCTCAGATTCGTTTTCCTAATTTTGTTCTTTTTTCCCAATTATTACTGAGCTTACTAGACCTGCAGGCTCACTATCCCAATCCCCATCCTGTACGTTGTAAGTATGTGTTACTATCACCAAATCCTCTGGGAATGTGGTTATTGGCGATGGGGTCGTTTCGGTGAGCAGTGCAACAGGGAATACCGCATAGGCCAGGTTTGTGGCCTCATGCTGGTCTATGAGACCGAAGAACAGCCTACAATTTGTGCAGTGTGTTGCCACATACGGAGGAAGCTTCGCCGTTACGACAAGATGTGGCAGGACGTTCGCCGCTGGCAGCATGAGGGGGGAAAGCCTGCCACCGTTGAGCGAACCTGCGAAGAAATGCGCGCGATACTCAAGGAGATTCAAGGGCTCAAAAAGAATCACGACGCCCGCCGCCGGCCGTTGTTTCTTGGAGTATGCTCGTTCCTTCTCCTTCTCTTTCCGTTTTCGCTCTGTGTTTTCAATCAGTGGCTAATTACATATGCGTTATTAGCGTAACACCGAGCCAGTGTATAAGAGATAGTCGCATACTTATAGGACACACCGAGGAAGAAGAAAAGAAATCAAGGTGCCTATAAAAGCAGAAACCTCAATGCTAGTTTCAATCAGCCTGCCTACATTAGTCCTTATCTTCCCCCTCATCCTCATCCTTGTAGTCGCCAGTTTTCAGCTACGATCTCGGCACTTGGGCCTTGGCCGCCAGTAATAATATTGCCAGTAATGAGAGTGAAAGCGTAGGGCACCCATGGCCACCGACCACAATCAACAACGAATAACATGCCGCTAACCTCTTGAGTTGTTGCTTAACCAATCTTATCCAAGAATGTCTTGGCATTCTTGTTAGGCCATCGCCTAAATGCTGAGTCTATGTGGGCTTTCCGTTACATGATACCAATTTGAGTTGGTAGAGCTGCTCATACAGGAGGGTATGTTCGTGGATGGAATACGACTGAGGGCCCTACACTAAGTGGTAGGTGAGAATTTTAGTTCCTATCTATTCTGCAGCAGTGAACCGCCGCCCACCAAACATAACTAAGAAGACTGGCCGGCTCGGCGGATGCCCTTCCCAGATACCGGAATGGATGGTTTGCAGGGAATCGACTCCCCCATCCCCACCCAAAATCAGTCATATTACTCACGGGGCATGTCGGCGCTGCGAACCAGCCCATTCATGCAGGCATGATGATGATACTCCACCCGCCTAGTACCAAAGAGTTCGACATAAGGACCAACTGCATATTCACAACCAACACTCTACAACCAACATTACCAATGGGAGGCTTTCGAATACCTGGCCATGCCCTCGCCGCTCTGTCCTCCCACGCTTTCGGCTTTCTATCGAGCGGGAGAAGAAAAAAATCATTGGCCCTTTGTCCCCCTCTGCGACGCAAGGCTTGGCCGACTCAGCTTCCGCTCTGCTTCTGTGCCCTAAGCTTACCCAGCCAAAACCGCCTCATTTAATATTTGAACGAATACACTTGAAATTTATCAGCCCAGAACATGGCGGCGGAAGAGGGTGGTAGCGGACAAGTCTCGCCGCAACCCACCATCTGTCGAGTCTTTGGCATGATGAAGGCGTGCTTGAACGAGTTTGAGAGGCAGACCCTCAACGGATTCAAAACTCTGCAAGAGCAATACCAAGAGAAGGACGACGAGATGAGTCGCTCGATTTGTGATGTCATGGACTCGTTCGACAAAGATTCAAGTCCAGGGGAAAGACAAAGCATTGAAGAGAAATTACAATCTCTACTATCACAGCGATGGAGTCTTCGGGCTGAGCACGAGGCCAACCATGTAGAGGAGGAGGAATCGTGTGAGAAACGACAAATGGAGCTGCTGAGGCCGCTCCAGATAGCTCTCTTCTATTCTTTCCCTGCTGATAGTAGGGATGGGATGATGCTCCACGGAGCGGAGAATGTTCAGGGAGGCACAGGGCTTGAGGAGCAGCAGCCTGATGAAGATATTTATCAGTGTTGGTGTTGCCACCAACAGCTTCTTGATTCACAGGTAAAAGGGATAAATTGAGACTGTTGTTTCTAACTAGTAATTATAGAGGGGATCCGCGGCCCTTATATCCTTGAGAATCCCTCGATCGTATTCTCATGCGAGCAGCCCGGTCTCGGGCTCGTAAGGCCATTCCGATATCCCTCTGGCTAGCAATAACTAGGGATATTCATATCCGGATGACCGAGGTCCTCCTCTTCCTTCGAGCCGTGTATTCAATAGGATTAAAACGCTCTTCGAGGCATCAGCCCTGCGCCGATATGTCGGTATTAGGTTGATCGTCAGGTCAGTAGGTTCGCGATCAATCCTACCGGCTAGGGTTGCTCGAGCCGATAGGTCAGGGCTTTGACAATCGGGTCCAGTTAGGTTGTAGCCTTCCAACCTAGCCAACTAACCCCTCTCGGTGAAACTGATCCTTCTAGGTCTGTTGTATCGTAGCCGCGGCTATCGTGTGATTAAAACTTACTCTTGCCTTCGAAGCCGGGCCGGCTTCCACGGAATTCCTGATGTTAGTTACTAGCAAATCATATGTACGTTCGAACAGGCTGGGCTGCGGGCTTCAACGTTCATGGATTATCTCGGTAGTTGACGATATCTTCCTATCGCCCGCTTGGCTCCAACAATCACATTGCTCAAGAGACACAAAAGGAGTTTGAGGCAGTTAATGACGTCGCAGTTGACGGAGGTACATCATCTAAGGCTACGGATGTTAACGGAGGAGCTCACGATGAAGAAACTTGTGATGAAGTACTGAGCCAAATCGGCCACAACGAAATGGCAGAGTCGAATGAGGCCCTCCCTGATGCTCTCTCCAGCAGCGGCATAAACGAAATTGATGGAGAGACTACTTATCTCTCTTTTATGGAGGCTGAGGGCAGCGAAAGCAGCGCTATCGATTCATACTCCGAATTTGAGCCTGAAGTCGAAGATGATTCTGACGAGGTTGACGATCAATCCCCCCCAAGTGCGAAGGTAGACGAAGAATTCATTGTCCTAGGGGTAAGATTTCTGCCGTTCGCGAGAAGGACCATTCACGTGCTAAATAAGCTGATAGAGGAAAAGAAAGCTTTCTGATGCGAGCCGTCTTCAACAACGAAAGAAGTCTTGCCGGTGGAAGAAGCCACCCACCAAAAACCAGAGCAAGGGGAGAACAATCCGCTATAGAGAGGTATATGATAATACTATTGCTGGACACAAGAAGACCATTGTTCAGTATCCTGCCAATAAGGGCCGATGGTATATAATTCATTGCGAGGAACACGGGCTTGAATTTGGAGGTAGCAATCCACTCATGGATGCCGCATTTCACTTGGGCAGTCTCCAGCACGATAAATACTCAAAAGCCTATAAGGATGTTATCGATCAGATGGGTATACGAGTCAAGTACTGTACGGCGAGCCGTGCAAAGCAGAACAATGACGCTTTTACGAAAGAAGGTGTTGAGAAGAACTCGCCAACGTCGATGGATCGGACCACAGGTAGCAAAGACGAAGATTTAAGGGGGAGGCAGGCTTTTGGAACTCGAAAGGCGGCCTTGATGAGCGATAAAACTGAAACATCTCGGAGTAGTCGGGATACGAAAGACCCCGTCTACGACGACATAGGGTCTAAAACGTCAAAGTACGACGATACTAATGAAGGAAACGAAAGATTGTATGTACGTCGTCAACCTGGCGACATATGCCTCGTCTATCTTGGGGGGGGAGTATATCCCAGTTCTCGTCCTTCCTTTTGAGAATATGCTGGAAATCGGAATCAACGGCGACCTCAAGACGCTGAACCTGGTCCAGTTTATGCCTGGCTGCTGCACCTATGAACTGGCCACGGGAAAATACAGGTGGAAAAAAGGGTATGAGGACGGTGGAGCGTTCGAATCGTCTCGAGCACATCCTGGTCTATGATTAACTCACAACACCCTGGAGATGTGTCCTCCAGTGTGGGTAAAAGGAACAAGCCTGGAAAATTTTGATCTGACGGACCCTGTTATAATGAAGCAGGAGTATTACCAGCCATTATTGCGCCTCATACAGCAGGCCAATGTGAACAGATCAGCCATCTTGGCGAATATTGTTACAGAGCCAGGCAGCCAACGTCTCACCAACTCGGGAAATATCAGAGATGGAACTGATATCGAAAGTTGCGCGAGTCCTAGAGCTGATAGCAAAGACACTGAACCCAATGACATATTCGGGCAAGGGGGTGATGTCGAAGAAGGACCGGATGATGGCCTCTATAGCCAAACAGATCGAGGAGAGAATCAAGACGATGACCCGCTCATTTTGGGTGCTGAAAACATCCAAAACACTGGCCTTTCGGGAAAAAGTAGCATCAGTTCGCCTAGTATACGTCAAAGCGGGAATCGATTGAGTGAGCCTCAAGAAGAAATTGAGGCGAGCATGGATCGCTCCCCCGGACCGTTGGAATGGCATAGTCCAAGTCAACAATCGACGTCTAAAAACACACCCGTACTTTCTAACGATGAAACAATACAAGGCTCGTCCCGCAACGGTGCTACTACAGCCCCGACTGGGGCGACCGCCTGTGAATCGTACTTGAGCCATGCAGAATTTGGAAATGGACCAACAGCAAGGCCCTCCAACGAGAAAAGAAGCCAGAGTCCACCACCCATCACCACGAGAGCAGTCTCAATCCAGAATCTCATCCGATTCAAGCGGTGAGGGCGAAAAGCTGGTGAAAGATGTATCCCACGGCAATCCGAGGGCATTGGCAAGAGATACGATGGGCGTCAACAGCGATGGCCCTGGAAATCTTTTAGAGAACCAAGCTGCGTCTGATGAACTTGGCCTAGGGCGACTTTAGACGGCCAATTCCTACTTCCCCGACTCCAGGCAAAAACCCTGGGAGCCAAAATGTATCCACAGCAAGAGGAGTCCGTCATCAGCAAGAAATGGAGCTTTGCTATGCAGTTACTAACACCTCATCTGTTGGGAGGCAGTATGCCAGGCATGCAGTGGGAAATATAGAGGGGCCACAGCAGCTTACTAATGGTTCTTGGCCATCTACTCGACCGGGAAAGGTGATGACGCCTCCTAAGAATAGCTCAGCAACCACAGCTCAGACCCAGGTCATAGACTTAACAATCTCACCGGTCGGGAGCTCATTCCCCACACTCGCCACCAGTAGCCAAAGCTCCCACACGCAAAGCCACCAGGTCGGAAAGCTTCGAGTCTATGGCACCATGCCCCAAGAAGTGACAAACGACCCCCCAACGGGACCCAGTAACAATCGAGGGTATCAACCCCAGGGTCAGGTTCCATCTCGAGAACGGTTTGAAATACCGACATTTTTGCACCCTACAAGCTGGACACAGTTTTCATCAGGCCCAGATGCAATATCAGCCGCAGGCTGGATCTTATTCCCAGCCCCGACCGGAGATACAGCACCTACCTCTTACAGCTTCTCACCCCAGGATAAGATCTGAACTTCATGTACTAACCATCCCTCAGATGCAATCTAATATTCACTCAAACTCTCAATTTCGAGACCAATCTCATCCCCAATCTGGGATACAATTCCAAGCTCATAGTCAACCTTGGCTAGATATGTCAGCCCAGCACCATACCCAGCCTCAACCTCAGCTACAACCCCGTTTTCCGACACAAATCTATCCTAATCCTCAGAAACCACTACAGTCTCCTATTCAAACTCAGGAATTGGCGGGACCGCAGTCTCAGATTCACTCCCACGGTCTGGTCCAGTCTTTCTGTCCAGTGCTAGCTCAACCTCAGGGACTACCTCGACCCCAGGGACTACCTCAGCCTCAGGGACCACCTCCTCAGGGACCACCTCAGCCTCTGCAAAGTCTTCATGTTTCATCTGGAGCCAGTGTGCAGACACAGACTCGGCCGCAGATCCAGCCTCAATCCCAAGCTTGGACGCCATCACCAACAACCGCTGTCCCCAGATCCAATTCGCATCCGGTGGTTCCACCCCGTGCTCGTCGGACTCCCAACATCCAGCTCCGGCCTGTTCAATCAAGACAAACCCAAGCTCGACCTCAAACATCTCCAATGAGTGGCGCAGGGCCACCCATTTCCAAGCCGACAAATGGGGGTCAAGCAAGCCCTGTGGTACTCTCGGCCCCCGGGCCCAGCCCTTACATCACCCCTCCATTCTCGGCATCTTCCACCTCACCCACCACGACCGCCATGGGTGGCCTCCCAAGCCCTGAAGATGTCCGCCAACTTCTGGGCCCGCCCAAGCAGACCGCCCTACTGTTCAACAACGTCAACCAAGCGGTGAACCCGGCGGTGCAATCAGTCCCGGAGTCGGAGAAGGAACGGGCCCTCCAGAAGAATTGGCCCATGTTTCCTCGTGGGCCACTGAGGGGCTACCTGGATGGGTTTGTGCGGATGCACAATCGACCCCCGGGCATCGAGGGTCTTAGACTTGTGGGTGGTAGATCCATCTATTTTTGCCCATTCTGTATGTCGGATACGGCACAATGGGCTTCAAGGCTTGGTTTGATCGACTACCCCAACAGTATACATCGAACTGGGAGGTTTCGGCCACTCAAGTCTCGGTAAAGTGTCGGTTGATGATCTGGTGGTTGTCTTTATTCTTCTTCTTGAGAGGGAGTATTGCTTACTTTTCAGAGTCGCTAGAAAGCTGCTGCAACTTATCCAAGACTGGCAAAAGCGTGCATGGTAATTTGGTACCTTGTGTAAGTATTATACCAGGTAATTTGATAGTCTGGTGAAGCCTGGCTATGCTTTGCGGTGAGAGCCTAGCCCGAAGCCGAATACTCTTGTTGGGTGATTTTTCGTCCGATGGGATAAATTGGCGTAGAGTCCACTTGAGTAGTGTGATAGTCTCTCTTTCCTCCTCAAGGCTCTGAGAGTCCTTTGTATCTGCAAGGAATTGGGATAATAAACTCTTGTAGCCCAAGCTCCTTGAATTTCTAGCTTGCTGTTTTGAGATCTGGAATGATACCACGGGTGTTTGAGTAGATAAAAGAAAGAATCTTTGCTAGGGTTAAAAACAATGAATAAAGTTCACTGGAATTAAGTGAATGCGTTTGAATTATGAAGGATATAAGAGAGGGTTCGAGGAGGTTGGAGAGTCTTTTGCAGGACCGCATGATCGGAAAGATGCTTTGGATGTCAAGCATCCTGAGGATAGTTACTAGAACCTCATTGGGCAAGTCAAGGAGGCTCTGTTGCGACATTTTCGGAAAAGCCTTGCGGATAGATGTGAATGGCAGACTGTTATTATAATTGAGGGCTGGGGTGAAATCAGCTCAGGGCTGGGAGGAAGAGCAAGTCATTTATAGTTGACGGATGGTTAGGCATAACCGGACATTGGCCATTTCATAGCTGATAGATGGGTAGATGCAACCAGACATTACCCCCCTAGACTCGGCTCATCCCGGCTGTATTCTCAACACATACGTAATTCCGCCCTGGCACTGGCGTCGGCCAGTGGGGCATGACAACCAACCTGAAGTGGCAATCGGACTAGCCAGAAGGATGGACGGCATCCTTATGGCGACGAGCGCGTCAGGGAAGGCAGGCCGCATCAGCATCGGGAGCATCGTTCATGACACACACGGTGACCGCTAAGTGCCGGCCAAGATGCTATGGGTCCCTTCCAGAGAAGGCATTCCCATGGAGAGAAAGGCCAAGGTCGAGGCGCAGAGAGCTTGGATCATTTCGCAAGAATTGGGCTGCCTAGATACAGCCCAGAGCTCGCGATTGACTACAATAATTGAGTGTATAGGTGCAACAAGTGGGCATCTCAAGCGTCTTGTTATATTGAAAAGAGGGTTATCTAATAGCGGCGGCTCCCTAAAGAATTGTGTAGTCTCAAATAGTGGCATTATACAACTTCTGAGAAGTGGTGGACTTCTAGCATTAGAGTGGTGAAAAGAGGTGTTTATCTCTCCCCACCTCGTTGGCTTTTACTCATTATTGACGGGTAGAAGACTCATTAAACTGTTGACTTTATGTGGGAATGCTTTAAAAATCATATTTAGTTGCTTTTCCTTCCATTTCATTCATCGCACGGCTTGCTGTCGCTTGACTTATGTATCTTTTCTCCTTTTAAGGGAGGTTATCATCGTCATCCTTCAAAAAACAGACACAGACGGATTCGTCGCCAATCGAAAAGCCGGCGTTCATCAAGAGTTGTCACCACCGATCCCCTTGATGAATTCATGTGTGGTTTCACATCAATACGCCTTCAAATCGCAGCTTTCAACGCCCCCGGCTACGCCAGCAGCCGGATTGATGAGGAAGGAGATCGAAATGACCACGCCAAAAAGGAGTCTTCAACTTCACAGTTATCTACCTCGAACACGAAAAATACACGACACAAGGAGTCAACTATGCTTCTGTAGCTGAAGAAAAGACGTACTGTTTGAACCGGATCCGAATGAAAGCTTCGTCAAGATGGCCAAAAACCATCCCCCTTGTTAAATGCGTGTTTACATTGTATTCTTCAATTGTTGAAGGTGGTCCGTTAAGGGGGCGAGTCCATTGACATAGGTGGCGACTTATAAAGACGCTCCAAATAGTATTAATTCCATCGTATTTGCCCAACGACTTCTTTGCGCACGCCTATGACATGTTAAAGTTATTGCAGTAAAATAGACTATATACAGGGCTTTGGTTTTCCAATCCGAGGTCCAGAGTGGCTGCATCTCACTTTGGCGAAAACCAAAAGGCAAAGGGGTCCCTGAGAAGGCAGAAAGTTTAGGGGATGAAGTAGAGTTTGACGAACGGGTATCAGAGAGAAATTGCTATTAGATATAGACAGCTAAGCTCTAAGTTAGAGTAGGGCTTGAATTCATCAGCACTGGATTGTGTTTCCATTTGAATCATGCCTTTTTTGCCAACCATATGCTGAAAGACTTTTTAAGTCAATAATTTCATCACTCAATTTCACGATAAAAACTTGTGTTCAATAAATATGGATAAAAGAATATTGCTAATACAAAGAAACAGCAATTTTCATCAGACAAAGGGCTTGTCAATGCTATCTTCCACAGGACCCTCAGCTGTCTCTGAGGAGTCGGGCAATGTGGATAGATATAGCGGCAAACCGCGACAGAAGAAACCCACCATCAGTGGAACTTCAGACTGTAAAAAGAAACAAACAGCGACATTTTATGAAAGAAGGCAGATGAAGCGACTTACCTACGCAAAGTTTTCGATGATTGACACGCTTCATGTCGCCATATCCTACCTAGAGTGCACATGCGAGGGAATCTCCATGTACCTTTCGTCACATGTACCCAGAGTCTGGCTAATGACGCTCATACTCGCGCCCACTGTTTGGGACCTGAAAACCCGAAAACTGGTTCCTAATTTCGGGTCGTCCACACTTTGCCTAGTATATATACATCACAAAACCACTCGAGACCTATTTTCGGCAGCTCTTTCAACCCACATGAAGAGTGATAGAAATGGCATTCTCTAACTTTGCTCACACGCCTGGTACCACCGATGTTCCCGCCGGAGAGGAATTAGCTTCAGATCAGATCTGGGACCAGCATCCCGAGAACCCATACAACTGGAGCAACGGAAGCAAGGCTGTGCATGTCATGATGCTTTCGCTCGTTTCCTTTTTATCGTAAAATATATCCTTTTCATAATAAGTTCCAGATAACAAGCCCCAGCTCATCGATTTTAGTTCTATCGCTGCTTCCATAGTTACTCCGGCCGTAACTCATCTTGGAATACATTTCGACATTGCCAGCCGTACAACCATCATCCTTACTCTAACTGTCTATGTTATTGCTCTAGCCTTTGGTCCAGTCATTGGCGGCCCTCTTTCAGAAGTCCTGGGCCGACAGTGGATCTATCGCGGATCTGTGTTCAGCGGTGCGCTTTTTACGATTGGTGCAGCCAGGGCGCCTAACTTTGCTGCGCTTTGTTGTTTCAGGTTTCTTGCCGGTTTTTGCTGGGGTCCTACTATGGCTATAGCGGTCGGGTCTTGTAGCGAGCTACTAAGGCCAGAGAAGAGAGGACCTGCTAGCGGACTCGTTGTTTTAATGGGATTCTTGGGTCCAGGCCTCGGGTATGTTATGTTGTACCCGTGGCCACCTTTTCCCGCCGCCTCATCTGAAGCTCTTGTGAAGTAATCTGACTTGATTAAACAGACCTGTGATTGGCGCGTACGCTGTTAGCAAGCAGAGTTGGCAATGGACGCAGTATATCCTACTCATAATATCTGCGGCTGCTTTCCTCCTCACTCTATTTTCTAAAGAAACTTTTCATCCCATCATCCGTCACCGACTTGCTGGGAAGAAAAGTCTTCCTAGAAACGCTTACTTACGGCACCTTTTCTCTGTCTCTTTCTTCCGCCCCATTCGAATGCTCCTACTTGAGCCTATTGTTACCCTGATCTGCCTCTATGTTGCGGTTGGTTTTGGAATTCTATTTAGTTTCTTCGCTGCCGTTCCATATGTCTTTACGCTTGTCTATGGTTTTGACATTGAGCAATGTGGGCTTGTCTTTTTAGCCGTTGTTATCGGCTGTATCCTGGGACTTCTAACTATAATCCTATGTGACAAGCTCCTCTATCAGCCACGGGTGAAGGACTATGCGCCTCAACTTGTGCCCCCTGAGTACCGGCTTTACGGTGCCATGGTTGGCAGCCTTATACTGCCTGTCGGACTGTTCTGGTTCGGTTGGTCCGCAGGTAGAGGCGCTTCATGGGTCAACCCTGCAGCTGCAATTGTTCTCTTTGCTTGGGGCAATATCTGCATCTTCATTAGTACATTTCACTTTAAAGGAGACGTCTATCAGCCTGGTGTTCTCGCTAGCGCGGCTAGCGCTAACAGCCTAGCTCGGTATGGGTTTGCTGCTGCCTTCCCACTCTTTACCATCCAGAGTACGTTTCCATCAAATACTATTTCATTCATTTATTAACATTCTTTTAGTGTACCAAAAACTGGGAATTGAATGGGCCAGTAGCCTTCTTGGTCTTATTTCTCTTATCATGTTGCCTGTTCCTTGGATATTTTTTAAGTTTGGCCAAGGCATCAGGGAGAGGAGCAAGTACGACACGATCAAATATTAAGGTACATCTAAACATAAAACTGTGTGAATCATTTGAGAGGCTGAATTAGAAGGGCTATGTGAACAAGATATTAGATTGGAATGATATGATGTATTGCGCTTGTTCTGCTTTTCTTATGAATAAAATTATTACGGCCAATCAGTGGGCCGCCTTGTTCTTTGCTATCGAATATATGCAGAATCACGTTGGCCGCGTTTTCAGCAGCAGACGAAAGTCCTTGAGAGAGATGCAGTCGGTTATTTGGACTAACAGAGTCAATCTCTATACGTATATAACACCTAGGATCCAAACGACACCTTCCGAACAGGCTAAGGAAAAGGGAAAAGTATTGCTCCTTTCTTGCGTTCTGGCTAACCGCCTCAAATTCACAAAGCTTTTATCACCTGAAACAACCCTGGGATGTTCCTAGATCGGCCCCGGCTTTTACTAGACTAGTCATAAATCAAATGTGATCGCCTCCGCCCTTGTTGCTCCCAATGCTCCGGTGTATGATCCTCGTTTAGTGTTGGGCACCTCCGTACGAGACTGCAACTAGTGGCACTCTGAGTGTTTAATGTCGGCATGATAATGTGTTGTGATGCTGGGCATAGGTTCGGATTGTTGGATTCTTGGTGTTCGGGTATTTCCCCTTTTTTTCGAGCAGCTACTGTGTAACTGCAGAGCTATATCTCCCTTACTTATACCCAATATCGGCATGAATATGGGTCACCACGGGCCTCGCAATATGCTATCCCCAGTCAGAAAGTATCCGTTTTTATAATCTGATTCCAGGGCACCTCGTAGTCCGGTATTACCGTCGCGTGGTACGCGTCGGAGCTGTGTCGCCAAAGGAAGACTAAATGCGATCATCGCAGTGAGACACCTTGTTCAAGGTGGCTTTGTTCTTTCGCTAGTGCTTGTCTAATGGGTTTACCCCAAAGCGTGTTCCAAGGGAGGGGTAGGCCCAATATTGAGGTACGAAATGCGTAGGGCGTTTACTGATTAGTGTGTATGTAGGTCCATGATAGACGGAGTTCACGACATCGGAATCAAGCTTGCAATCAATAAGTGGCCTGGGAATGTATGCGGCGATTCAAAAAGAACCAACGGTTATATTCGAGCACCTCAAGAGCTGGTTTAGGCCCAATCTCATATGATAGACAAGCTCCTGGACAGCAACCTCTTACAGAGATTGAGAGCCTGACTACGGAGAACGAGAACTTGGCCAACAGCAACTTCCCTGATCAGTCATGTAAAGTTACAAGGGATGTGTCTTTCGTTCTAAGCCTTTGCTTTAGCTTGCAACCCGGCGAATTCAATACTGAGCTGTACTTAGAGATCGACCGCCGTCGCAGCTATCCTTCAACATCCACATCTCGTCCATGTGTGACTCATGGCGAGTTAAGGCATGTATGTATGAGAGATTGCGACTAACCGCTTTTATCCCACATTGACATTGAATAATAAACAATAAACCCACAAGTCCCTGAGCGCTCTATATTGTCGATCCCATTCTGATCGAGGCGAGCGATATTCCATCGAATATGCACTCACAAGGCCATCCTCGAATATCCTACTTCAAGAACGTCCTTGTTACATAGAGTGCATCATGAACTTCTCCATCTTTTGACGGGAAATTCTGATTTGATGAGGAACATCAAGAATTTGGAGCAAGAATTGACAATTTGAACTTGTAGAAAGCGCTTTGAACTCCATCACCAATTTAAGAAATTTATCACCCTCTACAGTTTCTATTCTACCTCCGCAGGCAACTTCAGATAGATATTCACATTGATACTCATACATGCCATCTTGAATATCTCACCAAGGATTTTCCTTCGCTCAGTCCCAAGAAATATCGCTTGACCGTCTACGCCAAAAGTTAATGATTAGTAGAATCTTCTAAATATTTCGCTATCTGTATGGCCAGCATCTCTCATTCTCGTAGCTCCCAAATAGTATTTTCCTAATTTCATTTACCTGACCAGTCAGCCTATATGCCTTGGGAAGTGGATAAGGACTTTGTGGATACAACGAATCGCTTATCGATTGACCGATAAGCGATAAGTCGTCTACTAAGACGAACCATCCGTCGGACTACACAAGAGATAGATTTTTCCTTCTTCATCAATAATACAATCAATTGCTTCATTTACTTCATCTTCCATACAGCTGTATGTGCCAACCCACAGACTTACTTAATACACTTATTTAGTATGCTCTCCAGTCATAGTATATATGTAGAAGGTATACACCAGCCTAAATGCCTGTGTTCTCCATCCGTTTACTGAAGCAATTAGCAGTCCCCACCATTCATAACTAATCATCTGTTCAAGAAGGGCTCTTCGAGAGGCTCCCGTTTGCACGAGATGTGACTAGAACTAAGATGTGTGGGTAGCATTGCCGAGGGAAGGCCTTGCATTGTATCATGATCGCGAAATACTCCAACCATGATGGGCTTGCACACAAAAAACAGAAATACATTATAGCTAAGCATTTCAGGTTTAGATTTTCAACCTTCTACTCAGCTGTACTTAGGCCTAGCCGCGTCAAACATAGCTAGAGATTTTCGATCAACGAGGGGGCAGATTGGAGTTTGCCTTTTGCTCGCAGGTCGATGTGACATGTTCTTTGCATCTTTGGTGGGCTGTATGGCGGGTCCTAGCTCGTTTTGAAAGCAAATATACATAACATCCTTGATCCACGTGTGTTGGCGTTCCGTCACCCACCTTTCATAGGACTCCATGATTCAGTACCTAGCAGAATAAACCGCTTTCTCCATCAGCTGGATGACGGGCGCTTGGTAATATAACTCAACAATACCTGCAGCGACCGAGAGCTGGCGAATTTTGCGCGAGTGCAGCTGGAGTGCAGCTGGAGTGCTGAATTGGAGTGGGTGGCATAACGCTGACTAAGCCAACCTACCAAGCCACAAGCCACGGGAGGCCAAGGAATGCAGCCCAATCATCCAGTCCTATGGAAGCCATTTAGTATAATTAGAAATCTTCTATCCACAACAGTCCCATACACATCTGTCAAAGGCCATCGCGTGGGATTCGCCTTACCCCCTTTACAACATCTTGAGAGCATCTGGTATTCAATTATGGCATGAACTAATGTCTTATTAATGACACCTTCTATCAACTATCCCATGTAATGTATTCTATCACGTGTTTTAGCGATAACCTAGATAGGTGCGGCATAGCTAAAGGATATCTATGTTCTACATTCTAATTTAAACAACTAAAACCGGTCCTCAATCATTCTGAGCTTTAACGTTCGCGATCCTCTCTTTGAAGTTTGCAACAGCATTTACTTGAGGGTCTTGGCCTGGTAACGGGTTGGCGGCACCCTCTTGGAGCGAGCCAACTACCACCTCGATGTCAGAGCAAGTGGTATAATATTCATCTTTACCATTAGGGAGCGTGCTGACTGCACCTATACTCGTTGGCCATTTCCAGACCCAGTATAGTGTAAATATACTGTTTGGCTGCAGGTCTTCGGGGATCTGGATATTAGTTTCACACCACTGCTCATGGATGATATCACTGTTGGCTATATAGTTAGGAAATGCCTTTTGCCGAGAGATAGATATCGGTCCATCGTTGAGTTGGTAGCACCTATTGTCATCAAAGCTTTGCGCTGCTAATAGCCTCCCCCGCTTGCTACCACCGGTGCAATTCCGCGTCCACTTTAAGACTTCCGTCAGCATCTCATTAGGGTCTGGCTCAGTCGTACCAAAAACAAACACGGTTCCTGAACCTGGTGGCTTTCCGGTTTGGGGTAATGTTACATGGCCATTCTCAAGATACTTTATAGCAACATAAGACCCTGGTAACACTTGCAGCCGTGGGTAACCAAGTGTCTGGTTCATGCTTCTCTGAGATGGGGAGCATAAACGATCAGTACTATCAATTTTATTTCGATTGGATACCAGTGGCGGTAGTAAATATGTCATCATGCTATCGCTGAATAACGGATACGTTCTCGGAACGTACCCACGAGAATAGCCATTGCGACCTACATAAGCTCCATTTGCAATCACGGTAAGTTGTTCAGTCCAAGAGTGGGCTACAACGTAGTTGAACAAGAGTATAAAAACAAACCACATGTCGCCAATTTAACAAAAAAAAAAAAAAAAAAAAGGTTAATTTGAGCTTCAAAACCTCTATATAGCCGAACGATGGACCAAACATAGGCCCTGTTGACAAAATGTGGGCTTTCGGCCCTTTCTTGGGTCTTTGGTCTACAAGTGACATTCTATAAGAGCTGAGCAAACCGCAGGTTGGGTTTCCTTCAAAATCGAGTTAACAAATATACATACCTAATTACAGGAAAAGGCGAAATGGGTGTCGCTGAACTTTAGATAACTCTTTTAGTTTAATGCTGTGAGCCCATGGTTTTGTCTGTTGTGGTTAGGAGACAAAATGCACCATACATAACATGTGTCACTAACAAATACATATCAAAAGCCAAAAGAGGCTTCTCAAAGTGACAGCAGTGCCCCACCGTCCTCTGGCCGCCCTTCTGCTCCTCTTCGCCCTTCCGCCCTTCTCAGTTTCTTCCATCTACGGACACAGGCCACTTCCTGCCGAAATCGCAACCATGGCACCACAACTGGAATTGGCACGGCGTGATTCAATTAAAGTTATGCTATAGAAGATTTCTGAAACGAAGGTAATAGCCTCAAAAGTCTCCTGCAGTATGCGGGCTGTTTAAAGAATTCGACAAGCTGAACGACTAAAGGGTGCCCGCCAGAATACTATCCTTGGACGCCGTAGCTGCCTTAACACACTCTATCCCAATAGCCCCGTTTAATAAAATAACACAACATACATAGTTGTATCATTCTGAGGTATTAGATTATCTGCACAGTAAATTCGGCAAGAGAGTCTCAGAGAGATCAACTGCGCGTCATCCACAAGCCCGAGGATGGACTAGAACGGTAATTCATCGAGTCGTACAGCAACAAGATGCTATTTTCCATCGCAAGAACAAGCTGGCAAGTCGAATTTGCACATTGTGATCTCGCTGCAGAAGTTCCGGAAACACATCTTCTGACCGAAAATTGACAATATGCAAGTGAATAAGCCTTAGGGGGGAGAAGACGAAGCTTATTCTGTCGATAGCCAACCACAAAATAGGTAAGATAATGAGAGAGTTTCCACAAATAGATATGGATCAGATGCCTGTTGCCGGATAAATTTTAGGGATAGAGCAAGTTTCGAATAATAGTGGGACCATCACTCTCGTAGTGATATTTCACTATGCCACTGTGACACCAGTAAGCTTAGAAGAGAAAGAGTAGTAGCCATTCGGAAGCAGAGCTGGAAGTCAGAGTAGCTGGTTTTGGTCGAGGTGTACAGTATGCATCGAGGAGGAATATGCTCTTATGCGTTACCCTCGGCGCCCATCTATAAATCCCTTGGATCACTGCTAGCGTCATGAGGGAAGCACTCTCCGCTTCGACCACATTATATAATGATGCTTGCCGATCATCCATGAGCAGGAAAGAATGCCATCAATAAAATATGCTGATAAGATCTAAACTCTCTTTCCTTGATGAAAGGGTTTAACCTGTACTAGGGTCACACCCCTTAGAGCATGACCATGTCCAAGTAGAGCGATACCAAAGTCGCTCCCGCTCTCATCAATGAAAAGCATCTGTTCTACATGATAATAGAACCGTCTCTCTATACAATCATCTTGGAGATCCCGGCCATGCTCTTTTACGATGTTTCAGGTAACCTTCTTGATCCACCTAACTTTGTTCTAGTATTCTACCAATAGTGGATATGGGCACCTTCATTTTATGGTATTTATAGAGCAATTCCGCCATTTGCTATTGGCTTGTGTAAGGGTATTGATCTGGCAAATGTTAGATAGCAAGCTATTTGTTCTTAGTGACTTCTCACGGTCAGCAATTGGCTTCACAAGGGGTATCGATTGTGCTGCTGTGTTAGACACTAATTGAATAAGCTTTATGGACAGCGCGTTCCGAACAAGAAATGGTATTGGCTATTTCTGAACCTCGGGTCATAAGGCCGGCTTGTTCCGTGTACTGTCGACAAATATTCGGATCTCTAACACCAAATGGGCCGCCCATTTTTTTTTCAAATTCACGAGCTGCCAAGGAGAATTGAAGCCATTCATCGTTCTCGCTAATTTTCGAGAGAGCGGTGTCGCAGAACTCCACATAGCCTCCTTCTCGCAGAGATCCAAATACCTGTCGAAAAAGTACTAGCCGATCTCAATACATCCAGCACTCCTCGTATGTGCACTATGTCAAATTCCTCAGGCCGAAAAGTCTAGGAATAATTAGCGTCGTCGATGTAAGTCGTGCATTGACGTAGTACCATATAGGGCTGCACTGGATTGATATCCATCATCACGATAAGTTTGCGAACGCCCCGACCCACACCGGGTGTTCGCAAACTTATCGACCAACATTTTAGTGCCGAGGCAAATGTGGACTCGACATGCGCTGATGGTAACAAGCTAAGGCGCCCCGCTAAAACTGGGAGAAACACATTCAGGTGGTATTGAGCCAAGTTTGTATCACGATGAAAAATTCGTCAAAGAGGCTATTCGAGATTTAAGTCTATTAATGCCACTAGACCACCGGAAAAAGTGTGAGCCTACACCATACCGTGGAATAGTACGTCTTATATAGCCTACTGGCACCAACAAAGTCAGAATGGGTGACTGGAAAGGCACCAGCGGTGCGAAGGTTAAGCCTTAAGCCATATTAATGCAGGCCCCATATTCATTGTGGCGATACTTGCAATGGTTAGTGCCTGGTGGGGCTTAGATTGGGACTAGTAGAGGATAACGTGCATCCAGTTAACATCAAGCACTGCATCTTTTTATAAAAAGTCGACTAAGTGGAAGCGACTCATGATCCAAACTGTAAGTATATGTCCAACTTTAGAGTGCTAAATGTAATCTAAATATAGCAAATATTCTTTACGGCCGTTGATAGGCGTCTACTTAAGAAGCGACCATAAAAACAACCCAACCTCGTTCTAGAAGCTATGTAGTAGCCAACTCTCCGACAGCGAACAGCGATATGTTTCCTGGATTGGTGAATAAGTCCGACGACGGCGCCACTCCCTAGAGTTCCTGCCAAAAAAAAAAAAAGATTTTACTTTTTTTAATAAAAAAAAAACTGACAGTTCTTGGCCAAACACTGTCTATGCTATTCTTGGGAATTCATATCATGTTCTTGTGCTGCCGAAGCGCATCATTTTCTTGCCGAAGCGCGTCATTTTCTCGCCGAAGCGCGTCATTTTCTCGCCGAAGCGCATCATTTTCTCGCCGAAACGCGTCTTTTTCTTCACCTATTTTATGGTTTATGATACACAGCTCGTTAACCTTATTTCTTTCTTGTATGCAAGTCTCCTTTATCTTGCCCATATCCTCAAAAATCCTATTGCATAATCTTCCAATGTCTTCCATTATCAATCACGCAAAGAGGAGAGAGGCAAGGGTGGATCAAGGAGGTGGGATGGATAAATTAGCCCTTTTGTATTCATTGAGGGCTCATATGGGCCCAAAAGACGACCGTTTTCATCTAATATCGCCTTACCCTTAAATCTGTCCTTAGTCCAAATGCCCAATTCCCAGATCTCGTCCGTAGACTAACAATAAGAACTGCTGCGCAGTATCTCAAAAGAAAAATGCAGCCCCTATGTATGCAGTTGGGCACTGGAGATAGTTAATATGCTGCAGATCAGTGATGTTGTACCTTATTGTCCACTTATATTTTCAGTCGCCGTTATTTTTTGTGTGATTCTCTGGAATAACATTGATAATCTAAAAAGGCATCTAGTTCAAGCTCCGATATTAAACAACCACCATTATGAAGAATTTCAACTAAGTTCAGTCAAATCCTTTTCTTCCTATCCAACTCGCCTCCAGTTCTTGCTTATTCTGGCCTATTTGGCCATCAATGTAGCCTTTGTAGGCATAGATGTACAACCTCCTCATAACCGCTGGGACCAGCTCGCTGCTGTCGTCAGATATCGTTTGGGCGTTCTAGCTACTGTCAATATGGTCTGTTTACCCTCTTCTAATTCAGGGGCTAGCTTACATTTTGAGATAGATACCACTTTTTATACTAGCTTTCCGAAATAATCCACTTGTCTATCTGCTTGGCATCCCTTTCGACACCTGTATATTGATGCACCGTTGGCTCGGCCGTATCGTAGCGATTGAGGCCCTAGGTCACACAATCGCTCATCTCGCACAACATGGTTTCACCCAAACATCCCTTAAGCTAATGATATCTCCCTCGAGCCCTTTCTTATTTTGGGGATTTATTGTAAGTTTCAATGCGTCTCTAGATTGCAACCTTGTTAAGTTTATATACAGGCGACTATGTCCTGCCTCCTTCTTTGCGCGTTGGCTTGGGGTCCGCTGAGGCATGCTTTCTATGAGACCTTTAAACAAAGTCATGTTTGTCTATCAATCCTATCAATTTACAGCTTATGGAGTCACTTGAGAATAGGAAAGCTCCCCGAGCTCAAAATTACATATGCTATTATTGCACTGTGGGCGGCCGAACATATCTCTCGTACTGTGCGATTGATATATCTTAATGCACGCCGTTCATCAGCAAATGCACTCGTTGAATCTCTCCCTGGTGATGCCTGCCGATTGTCTGTGCATTTGCTACCAAGTTGGGATATTCAGCCGGGCCAATACACTTATTTGTATATCCCATTCATCAGCTTTTGGGAATCTCATCCATTTTCAGTCGCCTGGACCAACGAGACGCATTATGTCAGTGACAAATCAGGAACTCAGATCTCTTTTGTAGTTAAGGCCAAGACTGGTATGACTCGGAGGCTATATGAGAGATCAGTCGCTGCCGGAGGCTCAATTACGACAACTTGCTGGCTAGAGGGTCCATATGGCTGTCCGAGATCTCTGGGATCCTATGGAACAGTAGTACTCATTGCTGGTGGCGTGGGTATAACTCAACATCTACTACAGGTAAGGAGCCTTATTCACGGCTACAACAATGACACGGTGGCAACTCGAAAAATATTGTTGATATGGTCCATACGTCATAGAAAGCACAGAGAATGGGTTAAGTGCTGGGCGGACGAGATCTCATCACTTAGAGAAGGATCTGATGTGTTTCAGATTTTAGTATATATATCACAGCCACCTCCGCTAAGCGGAGTGCCCTGGTCTGGTTTCACCGGTCGTCCTGATCTAGAAAGACTGATCGCAAAGGAGCAAAAGTACCAGATCGGGACTATGGTTGTCTCCGTTTGTGGGCCAGCACAACTCAGTGACAGTGTACGCGATGCTGTTCGAAAGCTCAGAGGGAACAACTCGATTGATTTGATAGAATGTGCATTTTCTTGGTAAGAGCTATAGAAACCTCTAGAATATATCTTTTTAAAAAAAGATTAAAGAGACATGTGATATAGCCATAGGGAATAACAGCAAGGCTCGTTAAGGAAGGCTGGAAGCAGCCGGGGTTTATTCTTGTAGCTAATTAGAAGATGCATTCATCCGATCTGATTCATAACACCATTACTTAACTGCCCTGATGCGGCTGAATATCTGAGAAGCGATCGTCCAAATGCTATGATGCTGTCTGGATCTGACTTCTATTGTGACAGCTGTCTTGGTCCGATCACCAGTTCCCGACACCACTCTCAAGGAGAGACGGTCCTCTGACATTCTTGAAGCTCTCACAAGTATCTAGACCAGAATAGCTCAAATAAACGGACCTCGGTAGCAAAGAAAACGAAAAGCATCTATGAACCGGGGAAAATTGCTAAGAATCTTGTCATAAAGCCGACCTTAGGCCAATCCAAGCCTATATGGAAGACTTTGTGGGCTTTCTCACTTTGTTTACGGCAACGTGAGTCATCCGGAAAACATCGTTGGACTAGGCATCGGAACGGAACGGAAGGAGAGGAAGTCAATGGTGAGTATTTACACTTATATGGTTCAGCGCTCTCCGTCGAGTTGCGGGGAAACGGCGACTAGCTGCCGGTACAGGTCCGCTTGAATGAAGAAACGAATTTTTTTCGAATGCCAAGTCAGTCTTGACAAACCTACTCGTCCGATGATTACTGGCGAGATGGTTGCCTTGATGAGTGGAATTGGCGACGCGCATGTTGGATATACAACAAAAATTTGGCCATCTGGTGTCTCTCTCTCTGTTGTATTTATAACCGGATAAACGAGTGTCTATTTTACGAAACGAATGCGTGTTTTCTACAGTGCTCACTTGAAACAATACTTATTCGCTTGGGTCTTCACTTGTCCAAAGTGAAGTCAGTAGGCCAGCCTACAATAGGCCAACCTACAATAGGCCAACCCACGTAATAGGCCAGCCTACAATAGGCCAACCCGCATAATAGGCCAACCTACAATAGGCCAACCCACGTAATAGGCCAGCCTACAATAGGCCAACCCGCATAATAGGCCAACCTACAATAGGCCAACCCGCATAATAGGCCAACCTACAATAGGCCAACCCACGTAATAGGCCAGCCTACAATAGGCCAACCCGCATAATAGGCCAACCTACAATAGGCCAACCCACGTAATAGGCCAGCCTACAATAGGCCAACCCGCATAATAGGCCAACCTACAATAGGCCAACCCGCATAACAGGCCAGCCTACAATAGGCCAGCTTATAAGCCAGCCCGCAAAGCCAAGAATGGCATAATGCTTTCAGGAGACCTGATTTATTTATTTGTTTACTTATTCATAGACTGTACCAGCCGCCTTTTTGGCAGCTGTGCAGCGTTCTAACTATATACATCCGTCCTCATCCTTTGCCTACAGATATTAAACCGTTCGGTGGTCGAACTGTTGTATCTGTGGCTCCGGCTGATTACTTCTACACTAATACTCTCTCTAGTTGTCCTGTCTCTATGACTTGTCAGGCCCTTTCCGGCCCTCCTCAACTTTTGTTTAAAGGAAATAACTCGTCTACGCTTTATGTGGTGAGTACTGTGGAGGGTATGGCCCGGGATTGGCCGATCAATCGCGTCCTCAAGATCATTTTTGCTGCTTGTACTGCCATTGTCGAGCTGCAGAGAATGCGTTTGATGTCCTCGCATGGAGGTTTGCCTGCCCATGTTTGTTGCCGTTCCTCCGTCTAGTTTCTGCATTCAAGTAGGATATGTCGCACCGTTTGTCGCCCATATCCATAGTCACACTTGTCTGTATTGGCCTTGTCGATGTTGCGTAAATATGCGCGGAGGCCAATCTTGCCTGTGCGTTTCTGCCTGATGACTGAACTGATCGCTTGGTGAGCATTGATGTGGATCCAGAGCACGGCTTTACCTGGTTTGACGCCGAGTTTGTATAAATCTCTGCCGTGTTTGGCCGTTTCCCATGCCGCAGACCATTCGTTCTGCATAGCCTTGCGTATGGCCTTTTTTGTCGTCGCTACAAGGGTCTGAGAAGCCTGCGGGGAGTCTAGTCAGGGCGCATCAGTTGGAGGTTGAGCGGCCTTTTTGGCTGCCAGGTACTCTGACGTGAGCCGGGATCCACCGGAATTGGGCCGCCCATCCTTTGCTGCTAAGTTCATCTAGGCACTGGACAAACTCGGCCAGGATTCATTGGCCAGATGGGGCTTTCGGGTCCCGAATTGCTTGGATTGCAGCCTGGCTGTCAGAGAAGACAACACATTTGCCAGAGGCTATATCCCGTGCTTACGCGTCGAGCACTATGTGCAATGCAAGCACCAGCCCCTTCAACTCTGCCGTAAATACCGTGGAGGCAATTGCAGAGCCCATATACTGGGTTCGTCGCGTACTGATTCCGCTCATTTGATGTGAGCGTAGCGTTACTGCTGTAGCACCGACGTGGCCGTCGATGCCGCTTCGGTCGGTGAAGATGCAGATAGATCCCGGTTCCACTTCGTCATAGTCCTTAATGGCCAGTTCAGCCGATGGAGCGATGCACGTGAAAGGTGGTGTCCAACAGGGTGGCACAATGTGCGGCTGTCGTCTTTCAAGCTTGTTGAGCTGCACTCCGTATTTACGTTGGAGGATTCCCAGCAAGTGATCAAGTGAGCTTTTCTCTGTGTCGCTACAGTTCGCCTTGGCTGTACATTGGCGTCGTTCGAGCGCGCATAGCAGCTTCTCGTGCCGTCTGCTCAAGTTGTTGCTGCGCTGAAAGTAGATGTGCCTCCACGTCAACGGCGTCGCCAGCCGTGGCTCGGAATGCTCCAGTGATGATTTGGGCCGCACGTATTTGTATCCTGCGGACTGCTTTCACCAATGCACTACTCCCACTGATGCGGCCTTTACCTGGTGTATGCTAGGCAGAGCAGCCGTGAAGCATTTAGGGTACAATCATGGCTCTGTACATCTGCCGTAGGTTCCTCATCTTCGTACCCATGTCGAGGAGGCCAGGGCCGATAGCGCTGCTAAGCATTTCGTAGCTCCAGTCTCCATCTTCTCATGGTGATGGACCCACCGAAGCCTGGTGTCCATCTGGACGCCCAAGATCAAATGAATTTTAAATTCAGTAAACATACAATTGATCTAAAAGCCGTGTTACGGATGAACTTCATTTTCCTCGTCGAGAGTTTAGTCCCGGCCAACCCGACCCTTCCTGCGAACCCTGAACTTGACCGTTGTGGACGGGCCCCCAGGGAGTACTCAATAGGAGATAATGGGCTAGAGAAAAACAAAGGTTTCAATTATGGAGTATTATAATTTCAGTGCCCAGGATAATTCCCTCATCACTAGAGGAGCCTCAAGTTGTATCAGGTATATAAGCCCTTAACATCAAGATTAACTCATTCGAACATGAACTGCAAGAAAGATCATCTGCAAAATATGATCAAGTAGATCTTTTGCTCGAATGACAGGATCTCCTACTTGATACACCCATTTCCACTGTTTATGTATAGTATTCTTCAATTTCTTAAGCTTGGTGTTCTTTCTTGCATCCAGTGAGTTCAAGAGTCGGTAGAGGATGCCGAGAAGCATGTTGAACTCGATTTCATCATACTTAGGTCTATTTATGGACTCTCCAAGTCTTTCAAAGTCAATAGTAGGGAGACCTGGAACCCAACATCGGTTTTTAGCGTCCCATAGCTCGACAAACCCAGGAATATAGCGGAATCGAATGCAGTCCTGGCCTCCGATGCGTAATTCGTAGCACTCTTCAAGGCATATGGTATCTGGATCACTCGCCATGTTGGTGAAAGATCACAAATATTTCGAATATCGAGTCGAACAATTGTGGCTGCTGACCCGTGGAGTGCTACATGAAATATTAAAGAGACGGGACAAGCCAACACAGGCACAGGGAAAACAGATGCTATACCTAATACCCTAGCACAATGAGTAAATCTGTACGTACAGTTTCTTATATCTTAACCTAATCTGACGTCTTGGCGAGACGCAGCTCCTAATTGTGAGGATATGGTCAATACGGAGAATTTATCCTGTTTCGGAATCAAAGCCCTACGTCACAGTCGCAGAATGGTACCCAATCAATAGTGTCCTCCCAGACTCTGCTTACACTAGATCGCTATGAATGCCCAGCACGGTTTCCTTGATGCGAGAGCTACTTATAGTAGCTTTCCATCTCTACATAGCTATAACTGTCGATACTGTTGGCAATATATACAGTAATATAGGGCGAACTAAAATAAGTGCTCTTTATATTATTCAGCGTTCCAATCAATGCCACGGGCAATGCGCCAACCAAATATGACTGATGTAGCTTATTGGTACCGTAAGAAGCTGTAAGGTTCGAAAGATGATAATTTTCTCTCTCCTTGTACCCTAGTTACCCTGGAACCAGAAAGCTATGGCGCTATCTCGGCTAAAGTTGTATTTGAAGATAGATTACTAGGGAACGAAACTACAAATAATTACCCACCGGGTTCCTGGTCAAGATGAGTACGTGATCAAGGATAATCAGCTGCAAATACAGTCAAAGTGGCGCTAGATTCTTCGGCAAACTCATATCAAAGCCTTATCTTATTGGGCTTTCTTTCCTATCACTTTTCTATCTTGCGAAAAGCCTCTCACATCCCTTACATCTTTCACGTCTCTAGCTGTACTCTCTCTTCTCTCTCTTACGTCTCTCAATCATCTCTTCAAATATCGGGAACTCTCTCCAAAGCTCCTCATCTGTCAACAGACCCATAGCCACTATTAGCATCATGATGATTAATCGAAAGAGGATATATGGCATTTGGTGAGCCGCCAGCGATGATTTCTGTCTAAATATCGGTTGCGTGCGGACATGAATCTTTTATTGAATTCTCATCATCGCCTGTTGGGCCAATAACGAGTGGATGAGCCGCTATCAATTCGGGTCCGCGCTTCTCGGAAATGGCAGCAGGCTCAAGATCCGGATTTATTATTTGGAAATATCCAATTGACACGCTTGATATATGTTCAGCAAACCAGGGTTCAGGCCTGAGGAAGTGCGCGCTTTCAATGCATCTGATTATTTCCTCCACCTATTTTGACTTGTAAATTATTAAATCTCAATCTAGGAATGCATTCTCGTCCATTTCTCCATCTTTAAACGTAATGAACTCTATGGTGACAACTTACTTTTCATATGGAATGGCTAGACGTCTAAATGCATCCAAGTCAGTATATCCGTCGTCCTCGTATATTAGATCGAGTTCTATCAACGATTCGAACGAGAAATTGAAAAACGATAGAGGCTTTTGAGAGCCTAAGCCCTCGGAAAAGTATACCTCGGTGGCGTGGGGTTTGATGGTACCATCTTGAGAGTTTCTGCCGTCACAATCTTGCAAGAACGGCGTCCTTTCATAGAGTTTGGGGAGTGTGAAGGGGCGTTCCATTTCTAGTCTAGGTGTAGAGAGGAGATTTATAAGTGAATTGCCCTGGGCTATAGGTGGGCAGTTGACGATGGTTAATTTGAGCACCCAAAAAAAGGAATGGGTTCGTGATTGGAGAGGCGGTTACGGCGGGCTTTAAGTATTTGGGTAGCTCGAGAAGGCCAAGGAGGCTCGTGGGTTTGAGGGCCAACATTTCTGTCACTTTGTAAGATTTAAACCCACGAGCCTCCTTGGCATATCGTTAGTTCATTTGAGTTAGGATCTGCGCGCTACACTTCAAGGACAAAACTAGGTCTCCTTGATTCTACAAGTCCTCATTGGGTCTATTTCCATTTCGTGAAGATAGATTAAGCAGCATATGGATTCTCCTTTATCATCTCTAAGTCATGGAAACATACGGAAAGTTTTTGAAGACGAGTCTACCTAGATACAGCTTCAATTATCGCGGATAAGCCTGGCTAAAATCCCTATAGCTACATTCTGGTCATTGTGTATCATAATTCTTTTCACCTCCTAGGTGTCTTCCTGTTTTCGGCCTTCGTATAATCTTCGTCGTCTAAATTGGTCCTGACATCGTTTTCCGTATCGGCGTCTCGGCGGCGCTTAAGGAAGGCATTGTTATCCGTCTTGGCTTCCCGGTGGCGTTTAAGGAAGATTTTATTCGGCGATTCGGTAGAATTTATTGCTGCTTGAAAACAGTTCTGAGGGGAAAGTGCCTGGTTATGACCATCAAAGAGAGCAAACCCGCTTTTAAGGTATTCATCCGCCACCTTTTCCACAAGTTTCGAAGCTTTTGAAGGGTTGGAAATGTGTAATGAAAGAACTTTTCCCACTTTCCAGCTACGCTTAACGTTTCCATACAGGAACTCAGATTGTTGATGTTCCCAGATTGGTAACAAGAACTGAATTGTCATCTGCGACAATTCTTTTCGTGCTGTTTCTAGAATATCGAGTTCTTCTTTGAGATTTTCGATGTTCTTCTCAAGCTGGAGCTGTTGCCCCCCACGCTGATCCACGCTCTTTTCAAGGTCTATTTCTTGCCGTTTAAGTTGATCAATCTTCTCTTCAAGATTTGCAACTAGCTGTCTGTCGTGAACGATATTCTGATCAAGCCCTAGCTGGTTCTGATTGACTTGCTTGATTTCCTGTTCGAGTTTTATCTGTTTCTGATCACATTCATCAATATATTGCTCAAATTCTATTATTTTCTGTCCACGATGGTCGAAGTTCTCCCTGAGCTCCAAAATTTCCTGTCGGCGTTCATTGATAATTTTATGGAGCTCCGCCTTTTGCTGCTCAAGTTGTTCGATGGTCACCTTTAGACTTTCTACATGCTGTGTGTGATCGTTGACGTTCTGGTCAATTTCTATTCCTTGACGGAGGTTGTCGACGGTCTCCAGAAGCTTTGATTCCTGCTCTTTTAGTTGATCGATGGCATTTTCGAGATTAGATCTCTGTTCCGTGAGATCAGTTATCTGCTGTTTGAGCCTTGTCTGTTGCTGACCAAATTCGTTGATATGGTGCTCCAACTTTGACATTTCCTCTAGTTTTCGGCCATTCAGTCGCCGAATCTCTTCTTCAAGACTTTCTATCTGCTGCTTATAATCTTCAATATTCTGCTCGAGACCTTTTGCTTTCTCTCTAGGGCCATTGACGTAATTCTCAGTTAATATGTATTGTCGCTTAGGCTTATCAATTCTCCTATCCTTGGTCTTTCTAAGCTTCAGAGTTCCCTCTTGGGACCTCCTTTTGCATGATTCGCCCAACAATTTTATTTGATTTTCAAGCTGCTGGTTTTTTTCTTCAAATTCATTATTTTTTTGCAAACGTTCAGCCAAGCTTTGCTCCAATTGTAGAAGTGTAGCTTGCGCGATAGATATTTGATTTTCAAGTGATGCTAGTTCGCCTCTCGATTGTTGGAGCTTTTTTTTATGCTCGCTTTTTGGTGATTGGATTTCAAAAGTAGGACCCTGTCGCGACACCAAACTATCGTTCTGCAGATGTATATGACTTGAGACCTTGTGGCTAAACTCTTCGCTGTTGATCCCTATGTTCTTTCCAAAAAAGGACAAATATATCGATCTTTGAATAAAGCGTGAAGTGATATACTGCTGCTCTGGAAAGGGACCGTGCAATCTGTCTAGGAACAAGAACGGCTTATCACGGATTCCATCTTCACGGCTCGGTATACCACAGCGCCTAGGCGGACAGCTATTATTGCCGAGATCTGGTTCAGGGTGGTCTCGGGTACCTGTGACCGTGTCTGGCTTATTTAAAAGACTGACTATTTCTGTTATTGTATCCTCTAATTGTAAATATTGATAGCCATCTTGTTTCCTGATTTTTTGAAGAAATTGCCGGGTCATTGTCCTGTCGGGATTTTGCTCCAATATGTCGCGAATTTGAGGAGTTTGAAATCCAAGTTTGTGGGCTAGAGATGCGAGCTTGTAGACCATTCCTTCATTTGCTTCAACATTTTGAGGCCCCGCGAGCTTCCGCTTCACCAGCTTAGGAACATCCCAGTATTCACGAAAAGACCATAGCCACAATTGCCTATATAGAAGGTTGAAACGGTCAGGGTGGGATATAGACATAAAACCACCCTGAGATAATTGTATGAGGCACGAGCCTGACCGCGATTCATGATTTTGAAATGTGTTTTCTAGGGTAGCGCGGATAGATTCCCCCTGTTTTAGGGTGACCAGTCGTTTCATGCAATCTGCCGGACCCTTGAGATATTTTAAGTTCTCAAAGAACATATATAACGAAGGTATTAAGCGATCAGTTGTTTTCATGCAGATAAGGTCCCAGATTTTCTTTCTCTCAATCTCGGTAAACTCTCCAAATACCTCACCTGCTTCTATTCGACGCATGAGCTCATCCGCTTCTCTCTTGCAAGCTCCGGGCGCGGTTAGCTCTATCGCTTTTAGAGACGAGACCTTCATTTTATACATCTTTAGTTCATCTCCAGCGAAAATTTCGTAAAAGAATTCTCGAATATCGCCAAGACAGAAGCATAGTTCCTATGATTTGCTTAGTACTAGCTATCGTCAGCCAGTATTCTCTCTTACCTCGTGGCAGCCCAGCGTGACCATCTTACCAATAGCGCTCAATCGCAGACCAGAATAAAGCGCAGGTATGCAGTGAAAGGCATCGAAAGCTCTTGCGAATATACGATGATTGAGCAGTCGCTGAAGGTTCCGTTTGGGATCTGTTGAATTTGATATCGCAGCTAAGCGTGCCCACCATCTCCTTTCGAAATATCGATTTTTTCCATCTCCAAATATGCCCTTGTATGTCTGAATTTTAAGGTAGAAGTCCCCATCATTTGGTTTTTGCTCATTTTTATACTCTTCGATCAAGGTATATCTCAGGTCTTCGCTTAAATCTGGATTTCTTAGATATCAATATTACAGTTGCAGCTCAAGTACTCACCAGCTGAATAGAAATCAACGACCCAGTCTTTATTCTGCGTGGAAAAGACTTTCTTGGCTGCCTCAACCCGATGTCTTCCATGGAGGCATTCTAAGGAGGCCCCAAGAGGAAATTGGATAGTGGCAAAATGTTCAGGGTTTTTGGTTAAAAGGCAGGTTTCATCTAAATTAGATGCTCTTAGAAGCTGAAGAAGTTCGGTTTCGCTTATGACTGCCGGTATGCGGTTCGAATAATCATCGGGTCTACATCCACTTTCTTGTTGGAATAGCCTTTCGAGACGTTTCACATTCTTGGGGTTCAATTCTCTTGAATACGGGAAGCACAGCGCGGTAATACTAACTCGTGCTGTACCCAAGTGCCTAATGCACCTTTCTGAATCAATGGGGTTGAACGCGTCTCCACTTGATTGAGAAACCATCCTCAACTGATTAGATTTCCTAGCGGCATCCTATACATATGTATGTATGCATGAGATCCATTATCAAGAAAACGCGCGACTGGACCAGATTTGGACTCTGTGACGAGGGGCCCTTTCCTCGGCTATGTGGGACTAGCCCAGAATTTGGCTACGAAAAGTTACGTATTCAGCGGCAATTATCAGCTATGCAATATGTACATATATATGTACATACTGTACATGTACATACACTGTAGGTAGGCATATATGTATATGCAGTATTATATATCCATCTAGATCATTCAAGTGAAGGTCTTGGATTAGACTTTGTACGACTGGAGAATCCCTCGTTGCATCGGAGTCTCCCACAGCATTTTGGGCGTCTGGATGCGAACTGTATGGTTTTGGTGATGCTCCGCCCTTGCTGGCTTTTCTATGGTTGACCCGTCACTATACTTGCCTGCATCCAGAGGAAAGTCAACATCCACGATTTCGTCACCTTCCGACTGGTTGGCCCAGAGCTTGGGATCTCTAGGTGTCCAGGTATAATAGTGTCCGGCCGTTCTCCAGAAGATACATAGTCTTTGTTCGGAATTGGTTTGCGTACTGGCCTAGCGACGGATCCGTGTCCAGCGTCGGAAAATGGCCCGGTAGGGTGCCGTCGAATCGATGTAAGATCAGTGCCACACATTTGAAAGTCCGTTTGATAGCCAAGCAAGAAGAAGCAGACCTCCACGGTAGAAAGCTGTCTTTTGAAAAAAAACTCGGTTTGCTGCCCTTACTAGAAACTAAAGAATCTCGTTGATCACAGTTTGGCGCTGGGAATTCTATTTCGCAAGAGGCCGCACCCTCAGTGCCGCGGACTCACGAAGCTGTCGAAGAACATCAGCCGCGAAGGCAAGACGTTTCCACATGAGTGTGTCCAATTTGGCGGCGCATTTTGGTGTAAGATACCATGGCTGGTTCTTTGGCTTTGGCCAAGGTTGTTGAGATATCGTGGATGTGACGGAGGCCGACTGAGATTGCTTTGTTATGGTCATGGTTGAGGGCGGGGTAGTCCCACTGGATCTTAACCAAGTCCCCTTCCGTAAAGCCCGATTTATCGACGAGTCTCCAAGGCGCCTTAAACAGACAAGCCGTTTTTTTGTGCTTACGCGTGCCATCACTTAGTAGTCTTTTAGGGAATGCTTGGCATAGGTGTAGGATTAGGATTGGACTTGGCAACAGTACGCAATGTAATTCGACTCCTTGTCGAAGACTGCTGCGAGAGCCATGGTGTCGTGCATTGTTCCATCCATCGAATCAATTACTTTCTTCTCCTTTCGGGCAGATTTTGCAGCTTGCTCGTCCAAAGATTCGTGAGATATCGAGTTCAGATACTAGGCTACTTGTGTACGGTATCCTTCTTCCTCTAGCTTCCATATCATTGATTAGGGAAGGCAATTGCATATTACCCCCCAGCGAAAGAAGTCCGTGCAAGTGCAGGCTGCCTCGGTTATCTGTCTCGACTGTTGCGTAGTACTAGCTGACTTCCCGAAACCAGATTCTTGGCCCTTCCTGACGTATGTCAAAAAGGAGCGAGATTTCTCGATAAAAGAACATAGCCGCGCTAACTGGGTCCACGGTGCTGAGAGCCGTCCCCGAAGATCGGCCAGTAGCGCCTTTATTACCATGACATTGGAGCCGGTGGGTGGAGAGCCTCATCTTTATAGGACTGTTAATATCATTGGGGGTGACAGTGATCCAGATGGCAGGCATACCAATCCAGTTGTTCCTTGCTTGTATATTTCTCCGCATCAGGGGTCGAGCTCGATTCGAGAGCGGCTGTGCGTGGGCAGAGATAGATAATTCGCGAAGCAAGAGGAATATGTCTGAAAGTATCGTGGGCCTTGTCCCTCGAATCCCTTCCTGGGCTCTTTTAGGCGGCCCACTATCAGGCGTCCATAGACCCGCTCTAGCCTGTCGAAGGAGCCCCTGGCCAGAAGCGCAACTTACCGAATAGATTTCCTACTTATCACATAAATCAAAATTCACTTCAAAATTTATCAAGGCATATCGATGTGGATAATTAGAGACTAACAAATGAAAGACTTGGTTGTTAAAGCTGTAGATGTGGCTAGGTATCACCACTAGACACCAAGCGATAAAGCCATTGAGTAGTGACGTTCTTGCATTAGCTTATGCCACCATCGCATTCGGGGTCGCCTAGATCTAGACATGTTGATAGAAAGAAAACAAGAACATCAGACTGGGGCTATGGTTGTCTCTGTGTGTGGCCCCAGGGAATTGAGCGATACTGTACGCTATATTGTTAGAAAACTCCAGAGGTGGACCACTATTGATCTATTCGACTAGGCATTTTCCTGGTACCAGAGTGCCTGACAGGAATAAATAGATAGGCAGAACTTTATATAGCAAGCAATAAATTTTATTACATGAAGTAGCTTACTAAACTTATGCTATATCTATAGAGCTGCGAATTTTGTCGATAGATCATCCACCTTTGCATCTACGGCTGAACCATTGTGGGGATTTGGACTGAAATCTTCTGGCTCAGAAGCATCAGAATCATTTTCCTCATCTTCGGTGTCCTCGTCCGTCATAGTGTTATCGCTGCCTCTATAGACCACCCAGTCGGGGGTTTTGATTTTTACCTCCTTTTCTCTCCTTGTCTTTGAGTCTGGCATCTCCCGTTTCCATTTACTA